AATTCTACCGTCAGTCGATTCAGGACAGCAGCAAAGAAACTGGCTTTGTTTGGTGACCGTGAGCAGTGACGAAGACATTCTTGTGGGTAAGTTTTTGACTGGGTTACATAGATGGACTTTGCCTTCGCTAAAACGCCTAAAACAACCTGCAATGCGAATCATGGGTTTGCTTAACAAGTAAGAGAAGTCAGGCAAAGCAGTGGACCATAAGAATATGAAAGCAACTAATGCAAAAAGGTAATGCATCAAAGCGACCAAAAATCTGCTGTCAAATATTACCTGTTCGATGAAACCCGTGAATTTGTCATTATTTTTCAGAGCTGCTGATTAAAAGGCGTGGATAATAAAGCAAAAATCAGAAATGGTATTGACTTTACAGATATGGGACACCTTTGCAAGGTGGTCTAATTAACTACACGGCGTTTTGCGGGAAATACGAATTCAGCTGCAGCCATTTAATTTTAAGATTCGCAAGGTTCTCCAGATAATTGGAATAAGGGTGATCTCAAAACGTTTTGTATATGTAAACGCGAAGTAAAACAATACTACTCCATTAACTTGCATCCTAGTCGACTAAAGGACACGAAGCAGTGTTTTCAGCAGTGATTGATGCGATAAGAATTATAATTCATTTTGACTGTTTTACTCTTCTTCACGGTATTTCTCCAATTTAAGTTATTTCTATGTCGGCTTAACCCAGAATATGGAAGTGGTTGTAGGTAGAGCGCACTGTTTGGCTTTAAAGACTTCTTCGTGATTAGGCGGCAGGCATCCGACTTCAGCGTTAGTTATTTAACTAGTCTGAAGTCACCATTTATAATTTGATTTAAAATCAAGAGTTTGCATTCTGGTAATAACCTAGTAAGATGTCGGACATTAAAACTTTTGCTCCCTTAAAGCAAGCCAACATGTTTAATGTAGTTCGTTTGATGAACGAACTTAATGCTAATGAGATGATTACTGACCCAAAATGACCTCGCGTTGTGTGCCTAAAGTGAAATGAATTTTCTTGAATATAACAAGGTGCTGTCGAAATCATTAAAATTGCCCTGACCAAAAAGTTACTCCTTTTGAACTCGAATAATTCTCTCAAAGTATTAGTTGTACCAAACTATTGTATGTCAGCTTCCTAGAATATAGTAAATTAACCTCGTTTTAGAAATTTTCGTGCTTAATGAACTGTAATAGATGTGCATGAGGCTTACGTCCTTGCGCAGAGCAAAATCACGTTGCTGCACAAATCAAGCAGTGAAATTTGCCAGTGGTTAGTCATATGTAATTATTTTATCAGGTCACGTGACTACAAATAAACAAGCCAGTTCGATTGACTTTGTTGGGTTCGCAAGAATATTCAATGGCAATTATCTTTATAAAGCGATTTAGTATGCCATGATATGATTGGATTTCAGCGCACGAAATTCGGAGCCAATAACTGTCAATTCTCAGTTTCAATAGTCAGGCGATATGATTGTTGGACTTTAAATTCCCTATACCAGATTTAGCTATTTTTTCCTTTACTGTAAATGCATTTCTAGAGTTCTGCGAATTAGATTGCCGAAATTCTCTTGCGTTACTTATCAGAAAAACCAAAAAAAAAGATTAAGTAGTCGATTTGGGTTTAATATGCTAAAAGAATAACACCTTGATTTAAGTGTTTACACAAAACATTATTTAGCAGAAAAAACCACTTGGTATTCAGTTTTGTGTTTTTTTGGCTTAACGAACCAGCACATGCACTGTACCACAGAACAGGACATTTTAATTGGTCCTTACGTTGCGTGATGAGGTGTTGTTATCGTTGGCATTCACGCAAATGCAATTCCGGCTAGTTACCCACCTTTTGTTTATGATAGCCCACCAATTAGTTATTTCGGCTAAAAAAAATACCCCAACAGAAACCGTGTGCAAGCGCACAGAAATTTGGAAAAAGTTTTATTTATGTAAAAATAATTTGCCTTGCTGCAAAGGAATGCCTGATCAAAAATTCGTACACAAAACTAGACAGAATATATACTACTGAGTTGGTCATATTTAAGATTATCAATGTGCCTAAATTATGTTGCCCAGTAAAAACAAGTTTCTACAAAACATGCATGCATGTTCAAAAATCCAAAGCAATTAAGAAGAGTTTCACGTCGAAAATTTACTTTCGGGTTGCTAGCGACAAAACTAGCGTTACTCTTGGTTGGCAGTTTGAGTGTAACTTTTTCTTGTAAGGAGCTAACACAAAATTATTAATGCACTCTTTTAGAGGGAATGAAGGAAGGTTCGGGTACACAAATAATCACCAGGAAGGCGTCTTCTAGTTCATTGTCAACGAATACAGTACTTTTTGTGGCTATTTTGGTCCTGTGTCCTTTGTCATCACCAAACAGATTTCATGCCCTATAAATGGTCGTCCTCGGTGTCTTTCCGATCCAATTGGTTGGCAAAGCAGCACATCCTCACATAAATTATGTACATTTAGCAAAACTATCTTTTATAAATTAGATTTTTCTCGTTTATCTTGTCAGAACGTTAAAATAGTAGGGCATGAGTAAAACCAGCCTAATAATTTGGTAAATTTGTTCCAGATATAATTCCTTTTTCACATTACACAGTGCTTAGCACTTGACTGTGGCTAAGCAGCACAATCAATTTAGGTAAAAGTGAAAGGGGTTTATAAAGTCACTTGGTTTTCTGAAGGCTCATCCACCAAAATTACTTGGGAGAGGTAAAACACAACATCATTTATGTGTGGGATATAGATATCCACAAAATGAAGCCATTGGATCAGAAACCGGAAATGATTTTCTAACCACAAATATTTTTTTTTAATTTTAAACTCCAGGATATTAACTGACATGAATTTATAATTTCCCACTAACACTGCAATACCACCATTAAATGCAGCCTAATAAATTGTTGGTGCAGACTTGTGATTAAAAATACATGGCCTCGGGACGAGGTGATCCTGATATCTACAAATATGGCAGTGCTTATTTACGCCCTCGCCTATTTGATGCACATCGGTTTTCCATGCAGTCGTGCGTGCAGTGCAGTGAGAACCTAGAGCGCACTCAAATTGCCACACCTCAAAACTCCAAATAAACTGATGAATATCCAACTCCAGGGAGTTCGATCCATTCACTTGGTAACCTGGATCATTCATTTGCTTGCCACGTCAAATAAAAACAGAACCTAGAAATAAGCTAATCCTGTAAAATGTAATTATCTTCTCGGTAGCTGCAGCCATACTGAAGGCGTGAATTTTTGAGCTGATTATCGTTCGAATTCTGGCCATCCTATTTTGCGGAATATCAGTGTGGGATGCATACACATTTCAACTAACTAATTTGTACCATAGAAACCCTGTGGGAAGTTAAGGTCCCCATTTCCTGATCCACAAAGCAAGTTTTTATTTCTTTGGTGGTGCCCTTGAGTGCAATTTATTTTCCGTGTAAGAATGATTTTAAAGTAAAACATATAATCGTTTTTGACAACTTCCTGTTATATTCATGCAGATTAAAACCTGATTAGGCAAGATCAGTCGTCTGTGAGATGACTATATCTTTAAGAGCATTAAGGATCGTGGAAGGTAAGCCAGCATGCCCCATAATCTTGCTCTACCTTGTGTTATTCATTTGTTGAATGGGAAATGCGATGGTCAATTAGGACCTCCCTAAAATGCTCAGGATTGAGTGCATTTATGGGTGTTATAGGTTTGTGTTTGTGTGTGTATGTGTGTACGTTAATCAGATTGTGTGACTAGATTTTTCCTAACGCATCCCGAGTGCTCGCGTGATCTTTGAACAACCAGACGAATGCGTGCACGCTTGATAGTGGGGCGGACAGGCACACGTTGTGCCGTATTAATACTTTCTCCCATGTACCAGCTAGCTACTTCCCCACGTTTGCACGCGCCAATGTCGGAAGTAGCGCCGGTGCCCTACGACGCCCGGGGTCAGCGCCAAGTTAAGCTGTCTCTCCGTTCAGCCAGGACCCCTTCGCCACCACGTCGACGTCGCAATTTCTCTCCACCCACTAGTTGTGCCACGGCGACTTGTGATTATGAGTGTCTTTTAGCCGCTATCCAGGCAGGACATACAAGATGCCTGAGAAGATATTTGGAGAAAATCGTTGATTACAGTCAAGACCAAAAACCCTCTTCTCCAGTTACAAATTGTGGAAGTAAGATCATAGATCGCCGAGAGGTTCCTTCTAGACCTAAGTACGACTGGGTTACAGGACGCAGGCATCTTATCTACACTAACCAAGGAAACACACATAAAGTTGAATTTGAGCAGTCTTCAAGTCCTCTAATTTGGGCCGTTGATTATCGCGAGTGGTCCTGCCTCCGTCTTTTATGCACGATTCAAGCGAAAGATTTAAATTGTGGTGGTGAAAGTGCTGATTCACAAGATTCTCATCGTACTATTTATAACCCGAATCAACCACAACCTGTACAAAGGAGACTCGTCACTGCTAACTGCAGCCGTCTTACACATTCCCCATATAATTCACAGTTTAGTATTTGTTGTGCACACGAAAGTGTCCGGAGAGGATCGGATGAGCTTGATCTACTCGAACACGGAGACATCCCGGTTTCTCTGCAGCAAAAGCTTCGACCCTTTGCCAATGTCATGCTAAGTGTTTCCTTTTCAAATCTCGACAATGGTGGTGCTTCGACATCAAGTGCAATTTTTGATATTCGTTCATGGAAATCGGCACAGTCGAGCCCTCGGAGGGATATTTCCCCTACTGTCCACTCGCCACATAATGCCTTAGCGAGAAGAACTAACTCCGTCTCCTTAATTGGGGATTTTAATGCCAGTAAATCTTTTAATCAGCAAAACAAACGCCCTACGCCCTACAGAATATTTTGGACCCGAGGCTCTTATACATATCAGTCATTATTGGACTACTATTTCGCCACAGGTTATGAAATTATAGGGACTCATTGTCCAGTGGGGAGAGGGTCGCAGACAGAGTGTGACCACTGTCGACAAGACAGTGATTGTATGGGCCAACCGAATTACCCAACTGGACCCTGGGATGCGCGAAACGAAGCATTTAGGCAGCACTTTAGCCAGCTTGATCGCATGCTGCAGTCGTCAGGGGCTTCTACCAATCGTTTGGATTCTGTCATTGCGTTAAACGCGTTGGCAGTTAGCGCTGGACGCCGTCTAGCTGGATGGTGCTGTCATGGCGCCGAAGGTGATGTGACAGTGGGCAAAGACCTGGACGAACCCCTTATCGAATGGCGGATTCTCGCAACTCTCATCGACTACGGGTTAGACGAATTCGAATGGCTTGAGTTTCTCTCGCCACAGCAAAACCTCATCGGACAGGCGCTGTGTGTACTCGCCTGGCCAGTACACGGGTGGAGTAGCAGCGAGTCTGCAAGTTTGGCAGCGCATTTATCGAAAGAACCGAACAGCCTGAATGCTTTCGGTGAAGGCAACCGTAGAGTGAGACGGAGGTCTTCTTCGCCTTTGCGAAGAGAGGGTATTTTTCTCCCGCCTCCACCAGCTGTGTTTGGTGCAGCGTTAAGGCGCCAAGCTTGTCTTTTATTAATAAATCTGTGGTCTCTTGGGGCCTTCGCTTTTCACCACATTGTTCGTCGTAGAGGCGACGAAACAGCGAACAACGCAGCTCTAAGTAGCCAGGACTGGGACCCATCCCAGAGAAGTCACAGTTACACTGCGGCAATGGAGGGCGGCGATCTTCGACGGATTATGCTTAAGACAATCTCTTCCAAACCTGGTGAAATGGGGATCGTAAGTACCCGTAACTCTCAATTTCTTTCCTCGATTTGGAGCAGTGGTCCAATTTGTTTTGTAATTAAGCGAACATGTAAGAATAATGTTGGGTTGAAACATACATCCATCTTATTTCCAGTACATTTAGGCCCACTGATTTGAAAAACCCAGTCTTCATCGTTTTGCAAGTGAAGAACCTGCATCTACTTACAAAACTAATAGGGCAAATTTAAACCACGAGGTGGACAAACAGGTAGCGACAGACGTTGATAAATATCAGTTAAAGATTAGCTCCACGAAAATGCACCAGAAAATGCAGTTTTGCTGACAACATCTGTAGATTTGTGGTCTAGCGTTGTCATGGTAAGAGTCGTTGCCCTTTTTGGTCAGCTTTGGTTATTTTCATTTCTGGTCAATTTAAAATAGACTTGAGTTGCTGACTTAATTTTGACTTTCAAACACAGAAGGTAAATTATAAGGGAAGATTTAATTGAAAAAAAAACCGACATAAACAGTTGCTGAAATCTGCTGCTGCAGTCGTAAATTTTTGTCGCCTTCGTAGTCGAATATTTCGAAATAGCTTGAATTACGCATTTGGGCAATGGGAAAATGTATGGTGAATTTGAACACCAGCTGAATTTATTTACTTGCGTCAACACGATTGTATTGTTCAAGTCCGCGTCGATGAGTTTGCCTGTTTTACTTTGCTAAATACCTTACCCTGTTTACAGTTTACATGAATCATCAATGGTTTATTCTTATTTAAAAACTAAGTATGCCTACACAAATTGTCTCACCAAAATTAACTGCAAACAATTCGGTTACTAAAGTTACCAATTTAGCAGGTGTTGCGGCTTTTTGCGTTCTCGGAGCTTGCAACACTTTAACTTCTCTTCACCAAATTCCTGACTTGTCAACTTCAGCGTTTATATTCGTTGTCGTTTATAAAAGCTGCAGTGCCCTTAATGCTCACACACACACATCAATTTGCCTTTATATTACCGTGTTCTCACTTAGTTTTGGATTATTTCCATTCACTTCGTGCAACTTCAGAAACGTGCAAAATCAAGCTTATAGATCATTTAAAGTAGCGTGTCTAAACTACATTTTTAAAACGATACTTCAATGTATTTCAGTGAAGCGACATTTTGCTCTTACACGGCACAATGCAACTTCCACACTGTTCAATTTCATTCAACAATTTTCACAATTAAATGTGAAGTAAGCTAATATCTTCCGTTTTAAATTAATGGTTTTTAAAATTTCAAGTCATTTTTGAGCCAAAAGCTAAACACGACCTCCACTTGTAACATCCAATGGCAACGTAATTTTCATTCAAAATTTTAGTCTTATTTCTAATTTTACGGTGTGAATGAACAGGTGTTGATGAGAGTTTGCGCATCACCTTACTAGTTTGGTCAAGATAAGAAGGATCCTAACTAATTAATGCCACCAGGTACGCCTCTTAAATAAAGAGCATAAGGCGTTTCGCGATCGATTTCTTTCAAGTATGGTAAATTATCGTTCAAGTCCTGGAATACTCTACAAATATGCTACACATCATGGCTTGACTGTCTTATTAGGTGGGCAAACTGTAACCATCGCATGCATTTACATGAAATTTGGTACCTGGTTCCTAGCCAGTATCCGATTTTCTAATTGGCTTAAGCATATGGGCAACCTGAGAACTAAACTTCTGAGTCAATGAATGCTGCAATCAGGTGTGTGTCAAGGCTTTAGTTTTCTTATAGCCCCTTCCAGAGTGGTTACGCCAATTCACATGCAAGGAGCTACGAAAACGACAGAAAATGTGCTTTACATTCACTAATTAAGCACTACACTGCCTTTTAAATTATGTTCATGCTCATTTTCATAACTGTGAGAAATCTTGGAGATTACTACATTTGCCATAACATATAGGTCCACAAAATCATGGAAATGTGAATTGATTCCTAGATTGAGCCCAACGTTCAGGAATTTCCATCGGTCATTTAGAAGATGGCCGTTTACATATTCCACTGTGCTTTCAGGAAATATCGATTTAAATTTGAAATTAGGCGCGCAGGTGTAAAGAATAACAAATCCATAAATGCAATGCCTGGATTGGGTTGTAGCCATTGCAGACATAATTAGAGGTTGGCATTGCTCTGGTTTCATTAGGCCCTGTTTACGTAATGAACTTTGCTTCCAAAAGACGTGTAAAGACTAAAATTAATGTCATAATGCATCCATTATATGTTTTGTCATGGTAGGGGAGGTTACGTGTGGAGCAACAGCTGTTTTGGTTAAGTTGATTGTTTTAACTGTAATCAGTCCACGTGGGTCATTTGGTAAATGGTTGCACGAGCGAGTCATGTCATGTTGCTACATAAATCGTCTTTTAAGTTACGTGAGCTGGTGAAAAACGTTAAGTACAACATTAAGGCAAGCTCGAGGATTAGCGCTTGATCTGAGGCGGCTTAATGTCCTCTTTTTGGTGCACACACACAGATGTTTCAAAATATCTTTTCACAGCGTTTTAAAGATTTTTCTTTCTCCTCGATACTCCAAGATGATGCGTGATCATCCCTAGTAGTAACTCTGACACCCTCACGTGGTCATGGTGGCAAATTGAAAGTAAGAAGACCTGATGAGATGTTGCATGGGCCTTGACCGAGTTTTTAGTTAACTGAAATATTCTGACGTGTTACACTCAAATGGAGGGTATTTTTTGAATAATTGCGAAAAGCAATCTTTAACGCAACCACACGCCTGCGTAGTTTTAACCTTTCATTCTAAATTGTATAAAGGTGCATTTGATGGTAGACATTCAACTGTCCATTTGACAGCATGCAGATGCTTGGCAGTGAAGTAAGCAGCAGCCACATTAACATTGGCTTTATGAGCGTTTTGCATTACAACGGAGACTTCTGACGTTAACTCATGCTTTGGCATTGCCAGTTAATTTTTCATGTGAAGGGATAGTGTTTCACAATATTTCAAACACTGTCAAGATATTGAAAATCATCAGCCCAGAAACTCACAATGCCACCGATTTGGGTGAATTCAGGCTGTCGAGGTTGCAATGCTATTAAGTCCAAAAACATGCGTTCTCAAATGCTTTAAATCTACGGCAACCAGAACATCAATGGGCCTATTCAAGCTTAATTTGAGGAGGAAGATTGTTGTATTAAATTCTAAAATTACTTTGCGGTTAGCAGCATCATTATTGTTTAGGTAATTTATTTAGTTTTCTGACTTAGAACACCCACAAGCTTCAATTTTCGACGTGTCAGCGTATTTTGCATTTAGAAATTTTTCATGTTTGAATATTTAACGTTGATTAATCGGAAAAGTAGATCTAATATACTTATAAACTGGGGCGGAATACGTTTGAATAACAATGTGCACAATGTTGCTCCTGTTAAATCAAGGTAAAATAGAATCAGGAAAACTTACCTCATTACTTGAAGGTTACTGGTCAGAGTATGGCTGTGAGATTACAGCGTAGTTACTTTATCATAAAGTGAAACCGCTAATTGCATTTATTTTATTATAATGAAAGCAATCGATGCCACACAAGACTCCTTTTTCTTTGTAGACAAATCTATTAATCTACTCTGTTTGTCTGAATTGCTGGCCATGCTGTAAACTTGTTTGATTTGATCAGCAGCGGTTGCTTTGTAAAATATGGACCTATTATTTTCGTCGTAACAGTTGGTGTGTGTGTGCGTTAATATGACGGCTTCAAAACCAACAGAATTAGGCTGTAACGAGGTCATCTGAATCCACGTTAGTGCTAAGTGATTTTGTTAGTTAAAATTAAGGAATCTTAATTATGCAAGTTAAAAAGATGCGGAAAGTTTTTTCGTTTGGAACAAAATCCAGAAGCGAAAGTTTTCAAATCTTGTGTTTACCACAAGACGAGGGGAACTCAAGAATATACAAGTGCCGTGATTACATGGTATTAGAGAGGCTTGTAAAAGAGCCACTTTTCACAGACTCACATAACACTTGCTTGATAAAAGGGATTAATTACTATACGAGGCCATTGTTCACGTGTACGTAATGGAAGAAAGGCGTGTAAGTGACCATAAAAGTCACAACGCTGTTCGGCAACCAAGGAGAGGTGTTTTTTGAAAGTAATAAAGTCAATTTTTTGGAGCAAGCCCTGATTTAAGAAACTCCACATCTTATTTGCATTGCATATGGTCGTAACAGCTTATTTTCTTCAGATACACACAACAAAAAGGAATTGTGTAAATGTGCCTGCTTAATGAATCCTTAAACCTGATTGTCTTCGAACCAAACCACGACACTTGCCCATTTATTTCAAGCGGAATCTGGATTAAAAAAAGGCACAAATTTTAGGGGTCATCTTTATGGTGCCTTCCCCGAAAACAGCACAACCTACTTCTAAAGATATAAAGTTGGAGAAATTAATGAATTGGCGTATCCAAATTGGCACTTGTAGCGTACATTGGGTGATAAATGCTCAGAATCGATTCGTTTGTCACGTCTAATTATTCAGGCATTTGTTAGCCCAACCTCTGGGTGGGACGCCTTGAGTGGTCATATTCCATGACCTTAAATGGTTAATTTGTTGCTGTGAATATCATCTGTCAGAAATGTAGACGCAATTTAAGTCACCTAAACACCGAAGGCGAATTCAAAAACTTTTTTTCCATGTCATATATCGGGTATTTGATATCGCTGTGAATAATCATGGATCTCTCAGTGTCTCGATGCGCGAATTCACAAATCACAGTGAACAAGGTCAAGTGTTGGTTTTGGTTTCCTAAGGGCCTAAACACTGAATCAGCCGACAATGGTACTGCCGTTGACTGTTTGCCAGTTTATTTTTACTACTGTGAAGGTTGCCCAACAGCTGAGTGGAAACAGTCGGCGTTTACCACCGCACAGGAGAAGAGAAAGGAGCCATAAACATTTAAGCTGGACTGGAATTAAAGCATTAGACGTTAGCTGCAAATAAACTCAAAATGAAAGGTCATAAAATTATAATCTGCAGCCATTTGCTGCAAAGCTTCAGGCTACGCTATTGACAGTGTGGTCCAAATTGTTCCTTTCATATTTGGTAGTGTAAATTGCCATGTCTTCTCCCGAAATTTGTTGGGGATTAATTTTATCCCACAAACCATTTAATAAAGGGCAGTCCGACAGGTAGCAAGACTTTGTAACCGAATACCACGACGTAGTTAGGCCGTCTAAACGGAAGCAATAGGTTTTGTTAGTTTACTATCAACCAGACAGACAACAAGGATTAATGTATTAACTTTTTTGTTTACGGTTTACATCGGAAGGCGATGGCATCAATTGACCAGGCTAAAAACGAAGGCCTAAACTTGGTAAAATTAAGCTTGCCGGTACTAAGGCATTCGCATTAATTAACACTTTACTGCTTTAACTGTTGCTGTAATCAGGTTGATTTGAAGCATTCTAAAATGACCCCAAGTTTCAAATAATATAGTTATCTGATCACATATGGTCTGAGAGCAAATTAACCAATTTTACGTTTTTCGCATTTTCATTTTTTGTACCAACGTCCTGTTTTGCCATTAGGCTAGGAGACGCGTGGGCTGTCCCACAGGTAATATCTGGTTTCTGCGCATCCCTCATGATGCCTGGTCTATCGCAGTTTCATGCAGTTTGCTTTCGCCACTGTCCTACGCAATGACTAAAAGGTTTTTAGCGACACATCCAGCAAAACGTTTGAACTCTGCAATCAACCTCATTTAGCGTCTTAGCAGAAACGCAAATTTTTACTCTGTCATCTTCAGCCAAATGTTAAAATGGAAAGGATGTCACGTGACGCTAAGCTGGATAAATACTGCAAATTGTTAGTTGTCGTGCAAAGAACCGCAATTACCACTACACTGAGGTCCATTGTCCATACCGTTTGTCTTTTGAATGCACCACAAGTACCAAATCGGTTTTGTTCTGTTATGAATTTTTACTTAATGCACGTTGCTTAAGTATTCGTACTTTACGATTGGACTCGTGTCAAAAACATTTTGCGTTAATTAGTGGGTTCGATTCTGACATCCTTTAAGCTTTTTTGGCTGGCTTACCTATAGCCAGATGACACAATCTTCCACCGATTCACTTTGTCAATGAACGTCGAAATCTGTTCTAGCTGTGGCTTAAAACAGTCTGTTAAAAAACGTCTTAAAAGTGTTATTATTTTGATAAAAATATGGCTTCATACCACTCATCAAATGAACGTTATCTTGTCCTTGTTGTCGTGCCAATGATACCTTTATAGTAGTTGAACTGAAAATTATGATCGAATCGCTTTTGGACATTATTGGGTTTTTAGTGGTGCGTGTGTCCCAAAATAAACAGGAACTCGAAGCAATCATGTTCACTTAACTGAATGCTAATACATGGCATGAACATTTGAGGCATGGTTTAGTTCAAAACATTATCCTGCTCTATTTGCCAGATCTACTCAAAAGGATGTAGTGCTACCTCCTTGTAGCAAGAATCCATTTCTTGAGTATTAAAAAATATACATTACGTTACAAATGAAATTGCACTTTGCAGACTCCAAAACTGTTGGAATTTCTGCTGTCTGGTCGCATTTTTTCTACTGTATTATGCATGTTCTTTTGAAAATTTGAACCTCTACTACTCTTAAATCACTTAAAAATTGTATCTAAGGGCCTTCTGCAAAGTAAAATTAGTTCCTTACACGTGGCTAATTTAACTAGTGAAATTCGAGTCCGAAATGTTGAATTAGTGCCTAGCTTTTGAAAACACACAGCATAGTTATTATCAAAAAGGACTTTGGGAACATTAAGTGTAAATTTTATTTATTTGCTTTCCTGCCGTTTCGTCCAGGGAATGATTGATAGGAAGGGCACAAATATATGGTAAGAATGCAGAGGTCTTAAAAGAATATTGCGAACTCAAGCACAATATGCAGTGATACAGTCTCACATTCTCAAAGTTGGTTTTGTTACGAATGAGCAATTTAGCTTCTGCGATGGCGCCTCATATCACGAAGCCTTGAGACCTGACAGGCAATTATGGCGTCACATCGTTGATTGGCATAAAAAAAACATTTCTCAAAATTGAACCTTTGTTACTACTGCAGTTATCTCAACTAAGGTGGGGCATCAATTCTGCTTCCCACTAAACCTGCGCATTATTCTATGCCCTAATCAGTGAAATGGTTTCGAAAAAACTGGTGCACTTTTGCTGTTCATTTTGCGAAACCCAAAGTTAATCTTTACAATTATTTGGTGCAATTACATTTTGATAACTTTGCCAATCTTGTCGGAACTCGGCTATTGGATGAATAAAAATTTTGGATAATTTCGAAGATCCCAGAGAATGCTTTCAAACAACACAGCTTCGTTCCTTGAATAAATCGCTTTTGTGAAGTGTGAATTTCAGACTTGAATACTTCCTTCATAAGCCGAAATTACATGTTGTGGTTAACGTTTTCCCATAAAGAGGACTTTTATCCCATAAAGTTTCTTATAGATCTCTATTTAGCTCTTTTAAAGTTGGAAATACCAATTTTTAGGTTCATCTGATGTGGTGGAAAGTCACAGTGGTGTTCGCACTTAACGAATTGACTACCAGAACGAGCCTCTGCCTATGTGCACTTTTTGATCCTGAAAATAAAATGTTTGTGTTTTCGAGCAGCTCTGGTCAGGGTTATCAATAAGTTCACAGTGCCTACGCTTTAGTTACTTCTTGAATGTGATCGTCGCTTCGGTATTATTTCGAAGGGTTTGATTGGTAAACCGGAAGTGGTTGGGGATGGCTTAACAATGCACTCAAAACATCAACAAGTCCACTTCTGGATACTTGGATCTATTGTTTCCAATCACTTGTCACTAGTGCGTTCGATGTAGTGGTCTTAGAATTGCTTTAAAATCATGTGTTCGAGAAATAATTCCAGGCAGCTGTCACACTAGCTTGATGAATATGCCTGGTCACTTTAGATGACGTTGATGGACAAATACATAACGCAAACAAACCGCTATTTATTGCTAACAGATTTTCAACTTGCAAAAGAATATAGATTTGCTCAATTCAAAAGCAATGACTAAAGTAAGGAATAAATTCAATACTTAAAGTTACAAATTGAATGTTTTTTTTGTAAGAGAAAAGCTTTTTAGCCTTTCCGGTTTACACAAGCGTCAAATGTCCATTAGAGTTTTCAGTTGTTGATTGAGCATAAAATGCTGCTGCTTTTATTAAAACACGCCCCGGAAGCCAGAAAACGGTGTCGTTCCTGGTCGCAATGACCTGTCTTTGATCTCAGGCTCTACCGACTGGGTGTCTCCTCTGCAAATACGCAAATGTAGTGCTAATAGCATTAGTCGGTGATCCTTCTGCTTCCTAAAGTATTAGAAATTAGACAGAGAGTTGAGGAAACTGAGTGCGTACCTTGAACTGTTACTAGATGTTCTTCTCTTCCAAAACAAGTAAATTTTGAAAGCAATATGCCATTGCTCCAAAGCTTAAAACCCATGATTGCAAATCAGATTAACCTTGATTAGTCACAAATGAATAGTGCCTACTTTAAATCAATTGCCCCACACTGTTTGGAGGAGGCATCTTTAGATGTCGTGATATGACATTGTTATTTTATATTGCCTCACTAGCTGCCTTCACGTTTGCGTGATTATGTTAACTAAGTAGTATCGCTTCGTAAATCTAAGACCAGAACAGCACTGGTCTTGAGACTTTTATTATAACCTTTATTTTTCATAAGCAGTGACACGGTTTGAGGCAAGCCAGTTACCGAGCGAATCAAACCCCATCGATTGCATTATTTACAACGTCTATAATTCAGTGATTTGGTCGCATTGCAATGACTTTTCCATGGTTGCACATCCGGTTAATAACAGCACCATAATTAGTCCTGACTTCGTAGCTTTGTGCTTTTTTCTTAGATGCCATGTCTTGCACGGTTTGTTGTACCAGAACTCTAGTTTTAGTGGTTTATGTGAAAGTGACTTGTTGAAGTTTGCACGTGCAATGAACTTTTGCAATTTTGGACACAGCATCCATTTTAGATTATCAAACCACGAGGAGAAACTCATGGCTACCACTAAGTGGGTGGTCAATGGCGGTTGCCGATGAGACACGTGAATTTCCAGTGGTCGCTTTAAATTCTCTCCTCTACTTTATTCATATGTTTTATAACTCTTAATTTGGTTGTCAACTATCACAAAATCTCTCGTTTAACGTGAATTTTGTTGAATTATTTCTTGAAGGAGTTTTGAGTTGTAAAACGTTCAAACTGAGCAATTCGCACATAGATACTATGTCGTTGTTGGTGAAATCGTGGTAGGAAGGTCGTACACAAAAAGCGGGGTGCCTGGCATTTAATAATTTTCAAAGTGGTTGTAAGAGGCCTAGCCTTAACTCAAAGCTATGAATGCAAATGCATAGGATCAAGGTGTATGCGCGAAAATAATAGATCGAAGAACTTTCAATTTACACACATTTAAGTGCATATATGAAGTTTCAAATTGTGTGGTTTAACTTCAGCACTTTGTGGCAGTAATAAAAAATTGAGTGATAAATCGTCGCTTAATGATTTTGTTATTCCTTAGGGCTCTAAAACGATGTGAGCAAGTCGACCATATGACAAATCGAATGCCTGTGACATGTTGGTGAAACGTTGAACCATTGATTCTTTTTAGCATTGCCATCACTGTCGACAGATTTGGAAACAGAAGACGCTAAGGAATGCTAGTTGCTGACTGAAATTTCAAAACCAAATGTGTTTCTCATCAAACGTTATTTCTCCACGTTTTAGGAGCCACTTGGATTTTTGCGGAGATGGTCCTATTTTCAGGGTCTATGGCGCTCAGCTCTCTCCGGGACGCCTCTGCCTGACGCCCTGCCAAACAGTTCTGCGTATTCCCTCGGCTCACCGTACCTCCGCCACTACCAATGCCAGTCACCCCAGACTTCCCGACACTTCCGAGCGCTCCAACCTGCTGAGAATGCAGCCACACAGTCGCAGCCCAGTCGATGTCTCCGCAGTTACGAACCGGTCTGTCTGCGGTTGTTGACGCGTCGCGCGGTCCGTCACTACGTCGCCCGCGCCGAATTGGCTCGACACGACACCTTCACTGCCCACCCGCAGCTTACAGTTCCTTCGCTTCAACGGTTTCTCGGCTACTTCCATAACCTTCAACATATCATGGGGGCGCAGTTGCCCTCTGGCTTGCGAACTCTTATCTCCATTTTGCATGCCGAGGACCCTGCCAATCTACAAGTATTATAGACCTATTTTGTGCATGTCTGTGGGTGCTTTTGGTCTTGGTATTTTGTTCGTGCTGAAGATCTGTTTGCTGCTTATTGCATGTTAAATATTTTAGAAAAAAAAATGCTACGTTTTGGTAACTTAATCGCAAAATTAACATTCCAAAAATCCGAGGTCATTTTTAAACCCAGGAAACTATATCCAAGACCAAGATAAGTATTGTTTTATTTAACGTTTCGCGAAACGTTTCTCTCAATATTTGATGAGTTACTATGTAAACCGGTGGTGCGAGTCCGGTCCCCTTTACCAAAGACGACAGAGCTACTTTCGTTTTGGCTTTAAGTTTTTGTGTAAATACAGACGGTATCTGTTCAATGCATTTGATCACCACCTAGAAAGGTTATTTGGAAAATGCTTAAGCCCATCACTTAACTAGGGAAATCTTTGCGAGAACGGCAGAAAGTGCATTTTGTCGCAACTATCCAAAACACACTTTTCTGTGCTGCCTAAACTGCTGCTGGTCTGTTTAACCCAGGCCTTCTGCACGTTTAGTGTCAGCGAAATAAAAGCACTTGCGCATGATGCTTTTTTAATCTGGAATTAGTAAGCAAGGACATACGGCAGAATTAAGTAGGATGAAATCAGGCAGTGGAGTGGCAGAGGGATCAGTGTTTAAGCAATATTCTTCAAAAAATAATTATCGCAATAACTAAATATGGAATGCACAGATTATCTACCTCAAGTATGGGTACCCAGGAAGTTAAGCGAAATTTCGTAGTAGTCACTTTGTTCAACTGTCGGTTTTTTGGAAACCGATTCTTTGTTCCATCTGTTCTATCAAGCAAATTCCTTAGTTATTTACACTGCTATGGAAATGTGATTCCGATTAATATGAACAACTGTTCAATTGAGTGTTTAGTAAATCTTGCATTTTAGATCCCCGATATATCAAAATCTACTTAGATTTAGGGATGATTAGTTATTTTACCCAAGAGAACAACGACAGGGCTCTTATGTTAAACGGCACATCTAAACATTGTTCATTGCGTCTAGAGCCGGCACCACATTCGTGATGCACTTGGTTCAATTACTGTGTCAATATGCTTGTAACAAGGTCATTCCCAGTTAAAATGGCTTGAATTTTCGGAGTTTTCGAAGCTGACTTTATCTTAGGATGGCGCAAGTTTGTATTAAGACCTCTAATGTAGCCCCCGGGCACAAGTGCTTTGTCATACCAGAGGCAGTGGAGCCGAACATTTTGCAAAGGGCAAAACAGGAGCTGAATCATAAACCTTTTCCTTGTGATGTTTGGCACCTAGCCCAGCCTACGTACATAACCTGTCAGGCCTAATTGGGTAGACGCTTTGGACGGACAGAGCGAAGAGGCAATTATACCTCCGATTGGTTGGCCAAAGTCGTGGCTTCAAACAACTTAGATCGGTGCCTAGGCAGCTGAATATGCCCAAGTGACATGGACAGGACACGTGCTCGTGCGCGCAAGAACTCGTCGCTTGGGACGCGCTGTCCATTACGCCTGAGGTTATCAATATGATGTTAAAAGCAGGGAAGAAAGAGCAGGCGAAAAAAGTGCTTTTAGCATTGCAATAAAATTACCATATTCTTCGCATGTGCTAGTTGCGGAAACAATAATCGAACACGATTCATTGGGCTGATCACTTCGGGGCAACTTTTCTAGTCTAGGATACCGCCGAGACAGTTAAATATTTGTTCTAAGTGTTTTTGGTAGCACTGTTATTCTAATGTCTGCGTTGATTACATGTAGACGTTACAAACAGTTTATCTAACATCTAACAGAACTAGTCGTTTATTTCTTGCCCACCCATTGTCTTACGGACGTGTTTTTTGGCGGATCTGCGTAGCATTTCGTGTAAACAGCTTCAACAAAAGGTAAATTTACACATTCCTACAAACTGTTAATGTTTTGGTCAATTCTTGGGGACAATGCAAGGCAGATGAAGGCGTCAATCAACATTAAGACGCCATGCAAAATGGCTTTGTCGCCAAGCCTTAATTGTGAACTTGTAATAAACACTGCGTTAAGTGCTTACACAAACAAATTTTACATTTACCGGCCAATTCGACTCGCAGTTTCAGTGCTGAGTTCGGCAACGTAACCGTCCTTAAAAAAAAAACAACAAGCAGTAATCTGTAAGCGAGTCTTAAAAAGGCAGTAAACTTGCAAGCCACTAGCAAATAAACTGGGCCAAATTGCTTATTTTCACCCCTTATACAGTAATTTATGAGGCGTGGTGGAAATTTTCAGTCATCTCACAGCTATAAAAGGTCAACAAACAGGCTCTGTACCAACTATGCGACCGATTGGTTAATAGAATTAGGTCGTTTCGAAAACAAGATAACAACCCTTTGGGAATAGCTGCAACCCCTAACGAAAATGACATCCTATGTTACAATATTTTGTTTTCGTTAGTATCCGGGCGCAAGCAGAACTCACCTCTACGAGTTTAGTTGTTAATGGCGGTGTCACGGCGAGTTTCCAAATTGTTTACCATCAGCTCTTAAACTCTAAAAGAGCGAAACACGCCTAATTAAATTGCTTACATTGAACCGTTTCCATTTTGAAAGCGTAAAACCCCAGTTGGCAGAATTTTTGGCATTCTCGATGCCCGCCTGATGTACCTTTCAAACAAATGCATTTTTGAATTCTTGAACTTTGCATGCAATTAAAGATTATTCGAATCGTCAACGATGTTAGACATTTTTAAGAAACATTTTTTTGCCAAATGTGTGGGAAATTTTTTACTATTTGTTTGGGGTCCGTTGATAACGTTAATTCCAAACTGGTAGTGACTTCTCCCATTTCAAAATGTCTATTTTGTAGATCACAACAATATTTCATTCCCTACTGAACATCCCTGTATTTAAAATCAAATTATTTACAAGTGAAATTTAATGATACTTTTCTGAGTAAGGGTAACGTGATTCACATGGATTGTTTTTTGCATCCATTGGACGTAAAGTACACAGTGAAGTTAACCAGAGCAACACTTAGGTTTAGAACGACTTAAATTATTAAATTCTTTTCCAAGTTTGTTATTGCCAGTAAAATTTGAACAAGTCCCCATAAATTTTGCACGGGAGAGTTTTAAAGTGCTCATAGGCTACGCAGATTTTAAAAGGAGAGACTTAAATAATTTAAGTGAGGAGGGAATTGCAGGGTGCTGACCGAGTTACTTACTGGTGTAAGACGATCACCTGAGCCTAGTGGAAAGTGTTGTTAATTTGTATAACACCGGGCTGAAACTGGCTTTCGGCTGCATTTACGTAAGCCTCATTGTTCTACCCATTAGTCTGACGTTGCAAAGGCCACCATATCCCCTGAATAACCATTGCAGAGGCGTCAAATCTTATTTTAAATGTTGTAAGTGCCTTTCCGAAGCCTAGTGCCCCTCTTAAAACCTTTTCTCAGCAACCAGTAAAGCAGCTGGTCTCTTGTCCAGTCTACTAGTAATTCTGTTTTGTGCTTAAAACCAACCAAGTCGTGCCGTCGGCCAATGCCACCACTTCGCCAGACCAACACACCACACGATTCTTCTCATCAATTTGGGAAGTATTAGACAGCAATCTAGTGTTCATGGATTCACATTTTATCTTAATGTGAATCGCCTGAAATCGGACTCTCTTGTGAATGCATGATGTTTTGAGTTGCCTTCCTAAGGATTTCTCTATTCGCTAATGATTCGTTCATTATTCTTGTTAAAAAAACGGTGTACATTTGTCGTCTGAAGTCCAACTGAGTCAAGTGGGTTTGCGAGTGTCTTCGAAATCCTCCATGCAACAGCGCTGATTTTGGTTGACTATTTTAAACTCCTCGTACAAGACTAATAATTAATGTTTTCACATTTGTTCTGAAAATAACTTTCTGTAAACTAGACTGACTGCATAAACGTTAAGACAAGAGGGATTAAGAGTCTCCTCTACACTACTGATATTGATAAATCTTTAATTTACACTAGTTGCTAGTACAATACTTTTAGGGCTAACAGAAGAAAACTGTCTGTTTGAAATCGATAACAAAATTGTTCAGATAAGATGAAGCTACATAGCTTTCGTCTTTTCTTAAGCTGTAATGGTGTCAATAAAAGCAAAAACTTCAATGTAGATTAAAGCAGCTTCAGGAGAATAACTTGTTGGTTACGTTTGCCCACACGACCACTCAGTACGAAGATTAATGCCAGATGGACAAGGACGGTTTTGTTCAAACCAATTGTATTATACTGTCCACTTGGTTCCTTTAGATTAATTAGCAATTCAGATCGCCACTTCGGATGTTTCAGTACTTATCATTTTGACCGAATACGACGTAATCCTAATCTTTCGTTGCGTTAAGATGCTTTAACACACCCTGGAAGGACATAAGCGGTGATCATCTGAATGTGGAAGTCCGTAAAAGGACGTCATATTTGACAGATGAAATGTCCTAACACTTTCAAGCCGGCACTGGGGAAAGTAAATTGACAAAGGAGACTCTAAGTGGATGCCTCAATAATAAGCCCTACACCTATAAACTTTTAAGGGATACTCACTTGGTTTTTGGCTGCTTTAGCAGCCACATCCTGCAGGTGAACCCATTGTTAGCTATGTCTGCGCCTAAGCGGTTCGCAGCGCAATCACCCTACCTATGTCTCTGGGTTTCATGCAAAGAACCAATTTTTTAAAGTTTTGTCTGTTTTTAATGGAATGCAGCGCGTAACACTCAAAAGGAGCTTAAGATGGCCTGCTTAGCTGCCCATCAATGGCGTTGACTACTTGAGTAAATAATCACTCTTTTTTTAAACAATTTTCTTGAAAAGAATTGGTGCGAAATAGTCAACAAGAATTTCGAGTACTCAGCAATCCAGATTAAAATTCGAATTTGGGAGGTTTTAACCGATGAAACAGCATTCACTTCACTGGGTATGGAACGAAAAACGTCACCGCTCGCTGCTGCATTTTGAACCTGAATCAGATTGAAATTGGACAAAAAATAAGTCAGAGGTATCTCGTCGTCATAAGCAAATCTGCATTAATATTGATGTCTTTGTAGCCCTATTTTACACTGCACGTTTTATTTATTAGCTGTCAACCTGTCCTTAAAATGTCCGATTAATCAGAATGCTACAAAAGAATGAGCTTAACAAAACATTAATCCGCAGTCCCGTCATTTTGCATAGGCGCAAATTGAGAGAAAATGTAACGGGGGAAAGAAACAGTGGTGGGTGAAATTTCGAAAATGCTGAAGAAGCTGGCCTCAGAACTAGAAACGAGAGGTGGCTTTCTACCTCAAAGTACCCCTGGTTATAGTCATCAAAACAAAAAAATGTCATGTTTGAGACTGTCTGCGTAGTACTTGAGGCGTTATGAAGCCAAGCAGCCCAATTTAATCAGGAGAGAACCTTCATTGGGGGTGCTACAGAATGTCCAATCTAAGCATCCTGGATTTAGTGTTTCATAGGGACACCAAATGAAAGGGAACAGATAATATAGTGGTGGCCTTTACCACAATTAAATAAACCAATTACTTCTCATGTACTTAAGCAAGGTGTCCTTTTAATGTGTTGTTAAGGTCATCAAAGTTGTATTTGCTAATGAATAAAGAAATTACAGGTTAGAAAGCGTAACATGATATTACCTGTCTGAAAATTTTTATCGATATGAGTTCTGATTAGAATTATATTAAATTGTATGTTTAAACAAATTTAAGTAATAATGCAACTCGTTCTATCCCTGTAAGCAAAAAGCCAAAATTTAGCAAAAAACTGTTCTTGAATAAATTGCATTTAAACAAAATTGGCTTGTGGAAATCAAGTGTCCCTAGATGTTTGCTGAGTGATGCGAAAATCTGCATTGCAGAACTTAGAATAATGGGAAGAACTTATAAATAAAATGACCTTTTATTGCGAATGTTATCAGTTGCATTTAAAAAGTTACTGACAATCTATGTAAATCGTGTTGCTCGATTAATTTACACGCCTTATCGAAATTCTCGTTCTCAAATCAGCTGTATTTCAATGTTTCGTGAAATTATTGTTACTTAAAAGCCTCGAGTAGCAGCATGTGCATTCATTTATAAATGCAGATGAGGAGCCTCAGATATACGTTGTGTAGCTACGTAAGGCAACGTTTATTCTGTTAAACTCCCTTGAAACCTTTGTGATTCGTTGGCACACAAGTGGTCTCCACAGGCGTCAGTAAGATCCTTCATCGTCTAAGCATTCAACCAAGACCGCGAGGAATCAGGTTTCATTTTTAATTGCCAATTTATCATGACACCTACTTTCACGCTCCAATTCGTGCACTCTGCCGCATTCATGCACAAGGTCGCTTCACCTTTACTTTCACTGGTGTTGTGTCCCTTAAGCACAAGCAGATCTAAACACTTGACAAATCAGCAAAAATCAGCCTTTAAGTCTATTGACGTTTTGCTTGTTTAAGGCAATTGGTCTTCGGGTGAAAATCACTTAAAACAGCAATTCCGCATCATTTACGGCATGCAAGCAAAGTTAACAGAATAACAGAGGCAATTAATAAGAGATGCTATGTTCCAGTGAGTTCTGGTGAGTTTCATCATAAATTCAGTATTTTATTTATTCAATTAGCTTTGTGGATCTTTAAATCCGTTGTTCTGACATTATCTTCGTTTGCGCAGAAGTCATTGTACTTACGAATTGGTTTGACTGCATTAGGGTTTGGCCGTGATAAAGGTTGTCTGCTTTTAAAATGGAAAGATAAGAGCTAAGGCGGTAGCAGTTTCATTTCAGGATTTTCGTAAAGTTGATAAGAACAGTACTTGAGGTGTGATATTAACCTCAAATAACACCAGTGTGAGATAGTGTGAGTTGCAAAGCATTTTATTGCCCACATTTGGCTTAGATTAGCTCTTCCCTATCAGGACAGAATCGCTTTGGATGTGCCTTCATCAGTTTAATATATTGAAAACTCTACTTAAAACTCTTGTTCGAAGTAAGGTTGTGTAGTTCTACAATGAAGTGATTCATTCCTTTAAATCTTCGCACATTAAAAGCTTTCATGATAAAAATGACGTTTCTAGGAATATTAATATCGTTTTCTAAGATTGCGGCAATATCACGACTGAACCCTAGCTCAAAATATGCATTACACAATCAAGTTGTGTACTTGGGCTTTTAGTTTCTACAATAATGAAATCAGAGGTTAATTCACTGCCGCAATGTCAAAGGCCCTCGTGTTTCAGTGATGATTCATTTGCCCATGTGCTAATACGCGCATCCTACCTACAAAGGGACATAATATTCACGCCTCAACAGAGTGTATGCATTCAGTGGTTACCCACCGACTTTAATTGCAATTATTATGCCATCTCACACAAATGCCGAGTTTTCACTCATTGCCCTGTTTTTGTTATTTCACCAACGTGATTTGGCAGTTATTGTCTCCGCAAAAACACAGATACTATACTTGGAGTTCCGATTAATTGGATATGACAGTCTGTTAAGTAAAGAAAGAAGGCTTTCATAATCCCGAAAGCCAAAAGCTACATATGGTTACAAAGCGCTTGCTGTTTGGATGATGCGCTAGCATGCACACCATTTTTCTCCAAAATTGACGTGATTGGCTCAAATCAATGCTCGCTTGTAGCAACCGCGCTTCTGATTGGTTCATTTTAAATGCTTCCTCTCTTGCGTTTTTTTCCTAAATCCGTGAGCCATCATTCTAAAGTAATTTCAGTTTGTTACTAGTTGAAGGCAGGGATTTCGTTACCAAAATGGCAACCGCATCAAGCGATTCGGTTTTACATGAGAAATTTCTTCTCTTTTGTGATTTTGTGAAAAAGGGTTCCACCACCGCTACCGACAAGACCGTTAAAAGGATCTTTACAGACGGTGGGATATACTGCAAAGGAATGGACGCTAACAGAGTGGATATAGAATTCCGTGGACATATAGGGAATAATAAACGGTGAGTAGTGTTATAAGGGCTATTTGTCATTTAAATAATTGTTTTTCAGACAGATTTACGTCATGGAAAACGTAGTGAATTTCCCATGGAAACCTTCCTACAAATGCATTTTATGTGATCACTTTTAAACTCTCAAATCACATCACATCATCTTCATATGAGCAAAATGGCAGCATTCCTTTAAAATTCAATGACAATCTGAATGTCTTTTTATATGAATGGACGTTCGTTTGACCTCTCAAAAGCACAAATTTTAATAAAAAAATCCACAGGCATTGTAAAGTTACATTTTTAGCACTCGAAGCGTATTTTTAATCTTTTTAAAGCAACTGTTTTGCACTGATTGGATAAAAGCCGTTAATAAGCGATATCCGGCTGAAATTGAATATGCTTAAAATTTATTAAATGGTTTAGTGGCTTGCCAAATCCAACTGTTAGTTTGTGAGAGAGAAAGCTCAAGCTTACAACCAAGGGGATAATTAACTTAACTTCAAAAACAAATGCAGCAGTGATTTTAGCGTTAATGGTGTTTCGGAATTTATAGTTTACTGGACATTTGGCGATAACGGTAATGTACAAAGCACCGAGAACAACTGTTTTACTTCGCGTTTACTGTAAAAGCACAAATGTCTACACAGACAAATCGAAAAAGACATCAATTACTCTATCTGCGGTTTGTTAGCGGTTTCAAACTTTTGTTACGTGACGCTGCTGCCGCATTACTTTAGACGCTGCACTTATGTATTGTGATTCGTTGGTGAAAAAAAACATTTTAGTATTCAGTTTGTGCTCCCTGTGACGTCGTCAAGTCGACGCTGGGAAGGGTTTTTTTTATTGTAAGTCGCAGCAAGTTAAAACAGCTAAATATTTTTTTCGGATTAAACTACAACCACAAAGTAGTCTGCATTTTTAGACAGATCAGACATAAAAGTTTTGCAACTGGTCAAAATGTTTGCATAATTGTGTTAAACTCTAACACAAATTCTCGTCTTCTTTGTCAAACCGCTTTACATTGCAAATCTAAGGAGAGCCTTTATTTGTCAGCCCCGGAAAAATGATTTAAATTGTCCAGTTGCTCAGATTGTACTGGAACTTATGTCTCTAATTATGTCCTTTAATTGCTAGTCATCACTTATACATGAAACCAATCTGAAGATTTAAACATTTGTTTTAAACATTTCGCTGATGACCTTGACACGTCCAATCAGTCCGAAATGCCTCAAATGGGTTAAAATCTAAAAATGATAAACTGGCATCGGTTAAAATGGGAACTATGCATGAAAATACGTCCTAGTGTGTTCGTTGTTCCTGTTATTTTATTTTAAAGTTGATCCCAAAATGAATGCAAATCTTTGTCTCCATAAGATGGGTTGTTTACACGAAATCCAAATATATACACCTATTCCTCATATTATCAATGAGACTGGGTGGTTCTGAAGGATAATAATACAGGTATTAAATTTGCAATATGCTGGAGTAGTTTGTTTGTGCAGATAATTCTACATCATTGGGAATAAAAATCAGATTTTCTCACGAAATCGAGGCTTTCATGTTTGTCGACCTACCCGCACCAATCTAGTTGCTCTCTCCACAGGATTCACGAGACCAAGCTTTTTTGGGTGGGTTTGCCAAAAGTGAGCTCTGCATTCTTCTTCATTGGAAGAGTCGTTTGTTCTAAGCATTCACAGCTGTACTCGTCGTCATCGTGGTATATTTGTCAGCCGTTTGTAGTTTTCCAATAACTGTAATGCCGTGTGGATTTCAGACAAAGCTAGGCCGTCAAATTAGAAAGGCCTACAAGAAATACTTTTTTTTCAAAATACTTGCTTTTTAACTACCTATCAATGTCGAATAACTCACATTAACTGAAACATGATCAAAATTGTATCAAGTCTTTAGAGATTAGTGAGGTTTTTCCTTGAGAACATGTGCTGCCTGAATTTACCACTCATTGATAATCCTTGTCACCTCACCGTTGTCATTATTTTCTGCAGCACTATTACTGCAGTGTCTAACTTTACCTTTGTCACGCTTCCCAATGGCTAAGTCCATTAAAATAGATTGTAACGTCGTTTGACTCAATGGCTGCAATAATCAAGGGAATTCATGAACAGAGTAGCCTACCGTGGACTCTGCTTTCGCCCTGACCCTCTTTTGGGCACTTTGGACTTCCGTGATTGGTGTTTCAGAATTTTTGTTAAGTTCCTGAAATGCATGTGGAGACAGTAGAAGAATGTTCTCCATAATACACAAAGTCAATCTAAAAATGAATTTGGTTCATGCCTATGAAATTTTAACCTGGTTTAAGAACTAAACCCCTTACAGAGCTGATTTGTTTTAATATTCGCGCATTAAAGAAAGATAAATTTTTCGAACCGTGTGGTAATTAAATTAGTTATCTGTTGTAAGGGCGTTATTGTAAGAGGTAAAGAATCAGCGACATGGCATTCCGTTTTAGTCAAGCTAAATTATATTTTAATAAAAAAGCTGTTAGCATTTTAAGTTTAGTTATTGAGTTCTTTTTTGATTACTTAAAGCTTTGCATCAAGCTTATGAGAAATAGTAACCGAATTCTTCATAAGTCCTTTTTGGCTGCAGCCATCACAGGCGTTGCCAATTTCGATGTACTAATTCACCATGCCATTGCGTATTAAAGTGAGCCAGGATTATAAAATTTCATTTTCTCAAATCTATTGCTTCTCTTGTTTGCGTGCACGTTTGTTTGCTATAAGACCCTCAAGCAATACCTGGGAATTCACGCATGATTTGAGGGAAAGCGCAGAAAGCGTTGAGTGAGTTTGCTCCTCCACATGTTGATTATTTCAATCTGCTACTGGCTTGTGTTTGAATTGTGAAAACTACTTTTAAATCTTGATTTACATCACCACCACCACCTATCACTTAATTATATTTTTTGCTTTTTGCGGTCTGTTAAATTGTGATGTGGGGGTCATGTTATTCTAGGGCGTTGCACTGAACGGTCACTCGTGTTTGGTTAGATAAGTAGAGGAGATGTCCCTTGCACTGGACGCAAATGGTTAGTCGGTCAAAAATATGAATACGCATTAAAGTAGTTCCTAGTCACAATTCGTCACGGCCAACCTTCAATTCAATTTTGATCGGAAAAGTGTGGAAATCTCACTATTAAACTAAAGGAACACGAGAGGTTACATCATAAGTAGTTCAGTAAATTACAACATTATTTTATATTATGAACAGGGCTGGGATTTAATGTGTGTCACTTTGAACTATCAACTTGATAACATTAGCCTATTGTTTCATTCTCTGCATTTATCTGATGCCATCCACCTAATAAGCGTGCGCTTCTAAATAAATGCCGCGCTTTTGTTATATAGTGTTTGAATATCAAGAAGCAAGTAGACTTAGGAAAATTCTGAGCATTTTCATTATAAAATACTCAAATCTACTTTATTGTCTATGCAGCAAGTGTGCTCACCTTGACTTCACACTCACCATCAACGCTGTAAGTCAAAAAGAGCGTTGTCAGCTGCCTCGTAGGTTTTCATCACCCGCCTCTGTGCACATGTCACTAAACTATACCATTAGAATATTTTGGCATTCACACACTCTAACACGAGCGACAAAGAGGCTCTAGTACGCGTCACAAAATGCGGTAAAATCTCTGGCAGCGTGAGAACCCTGAAGCAGCTTCATCACATTCACACTCACCCAAGGCTTCTCATTTTTAAAGTAGTTGCCGTTTTGTTTGACATATTTAAACAAAAAAACCGACTTTTACACCCTTCAGAGTACATTCACTACTTCAATTTGAAGTATGCGCTTAGTAATCTCAGACAAATTTAGCTACGGTGATTTGAAATCACTCTAGATGTAATTTACGAAATGCTCTTCCAGAGAGGTTAAAGGCACAGCCATGAAGAACCTTTTGCTACCAGAAAAGTTGTCAAAATAAATATGATCCTGGTTTTAACTCCATGCTGTAAATACGCCTCATTTTGTGATGGGAAAAAATTGTTGCCTTAAAGTTTACTCCGGAAAAACGGGCGGAAGAAGTCACGTGACTGAGCTGTACAGCTGTCACGCTGCACACCAAACCACAGCGATGATGCGCCCTGTTGCCTTTCTTCACCGCACTAACACTTGCAAAAATTGTGGGCATTGGCAGCCTCTTGCATACTTTTACGCTTACAGGACTCTGTCGGGGAGTGGCAGTTTGCACCTGAGTTACTTTGCGGCATGTTCCTTACCCAGATACGAACACAAACACCGACTTCCAATACAGAGGCTTGAAGTATACTTCAGAGGATAGTTATTGAACGCTCGCTTGGCTTAAAATGCCCCACGTCTGCTTCCAATATTACCCTGAGTTACAAGAACGTCAATTGGGTTATATTTAATAATTAATTGAAGTTATTTAAAGAACACATAATATATTTAATGCTGCCCTTTCTGGAATTTGTTTTGTGAGCCACAGAAAGTCAGTATACGAGTGATTTTATTCCTCTTAGAGACGTAGACTTCAAGGGCTTTGTGGACTTTCTTGAAGGTCGCTTGGCGAAGACCTACGCAGCAGCCCAAGGCATCGACGACGTGGCTGAGGCGGCTGCTCAACTCAAGGCGAAGGTGGAGAACGCCACTCCTCAATTACGCGGAGCCACGGTAATCTCAGTTTCTTCGCTTGCTTACACATATTCTGCATTTTAATTGCTCCCTTTTTTACACAGAGGTCTCCACTCTTGCCTTATTATTATGTCAAATATAGAAGAAAATTCGAAAACTCAAACAGCGACAAAATTGCAGATATTTTGCTGAAAGACGATTTATTCTTCTAGAATGGTTGTGGCAATTATTCATGGTCACATGATGCTGTGATCTGGCCCAACGTTCAGTTCTCAATGTTAAAAGACCCTATGCATTAAATCAAAATAGACTTTGACAGTAACACGCTTCCACCTATTTGCCTACCCAGTGATTAGACTAATGCCATTTTGTTTCAAGTTTCTGTAGTAGTTACAATTATTTGAAGTTTAAATATTAGACATACACTTATCACGGATGATTCCAAACATAAAATGTTATTTGAAGGACGTCTGTACTCATTATCCCTCAGGAAGGCTGGAAAAAAATAACGAATGTGTTAATTTTATGGACTAAAGGGCTGTAGCGTTGCCACTTACCGTATCAGCATTTTTGTGACCCTTATGAATTCTTACCTAGTTAAAACTTTGCAGTTATTGGAACCAGACAATAGAAACAAAGCTAAGGAAAACTTAGGATGCTTGAATGCAACTTTCGCACAAATTAGGCCCGCTTTTCTAACTGGAAGTGAATGGGTCGCCTTGCTTTCCCACCACGGCTTAAACCCTCTGAGTGGACAATGTGTTGATTTGTTGAAACAATTGCCATCAACTTAAATCTACTTACGACTCTACTCATACGTACGATAATGTCTGAGACCTATATGATATTGTAGATATGCACCACTGCAGTACACAGTTAAAAGGGAGCCTATTGTCATGATTGAAAACGGTGAATTCAGATAATCTATCCACATGGGCGATCTGAGTAAAGATGACATTAAATTAGGTCAAGTCTTTCATCAACCTCAGCGCAGAGTCTGAGAGCATTTGCCAACCAAAATATCTGCACAAATACAGAATTTCGGCTATGCTGAACCTGTGAAGACTGAGGCGAATCACACTGCTATTTAAACACACCTGATCCATATTTCAATGCTGGAAAATACTGAAAAAATGCTGCAATTTAAGCCATTGGTATAGTGGTTTTTCAGGTGACCTGACCTGGCATATTTATGATTTTCAAGATATAATTATGAGTAGACATTGAACAACATTGCTAGCTTATTTTGCTAGGGTTTGGTTACACCCAGGTGATCAAAGACATGAGACAGACAGACAACCCACCTGATCTGCTTCGCCATATTTCTTGCACCAAAATCTGGACCCATTAAGAATTCCAACACATTTTTTCATAGCTACCAAGTAACGCTGTAACCGTTTACTTAGATTAATAAAATTCTATTCGCAAAAGGTCTGCAAACATACATGAACAATTTACTTTTTCATTCAATGTCCCACACTAGAAACAGGCAAAATACTAGGAATGGTAAGAAGCAGTGTTGCCTGTGCTAAGTGCAGTGTGGCTGACCGCATTTTGGTGTGAGGTCAAACGCACCCAAGCAATCAAAACCTAGTTTGTCCCTTATTCACGACATTCTGGCCTAGTTTCACTGCAAAGTTAACAGTCCTATTTGTAGTCATTTTACAGTACCATTAACGTTGGACCCTTAGCATTTAGTAGTATAATTCCTAAAATTATTTGCCACTATCTACATCAAAGGGTATTTGGGCCTAAAATTAGGGCATAATCAAAACACATTAACATATGTTGCGAAATACAACGATTTCTACAAGGTACTCAATCCTAATTTCGTTCACTCTTGTTGATTAAAATAGTAGTTTTAAATTTGTTTGAAATTATTATACTGTGACGAATTTCTGGACAGGTCAATCACTCGCATTCACAGAAATTTCCATTTTTTCTTGAGTTGCCGTTATTAAATGCAATTTTGATTTGATTAATGTTAATCAGTCACGCTAAAACGTGCGCACTATTTTGCAAGTAAACCTGTTCAAAATTAACTAACATCAGGTTTTCGCATGCTGCCCTTAAAAACTAGCCAACCAGCATCTTGAATAAGGCCCGATAATTCGACGTCCTTTCTTCTCTTTCAAAAAAGGAAAGGTCTTTATCAATAATTTGTAGACGACAAAATATAGTCTATTAACAACGTTATATCAATTATACTGTTTGCGTGGTCCTATCATAATTTTACGGAATATCAAGAATTTTCCAGTTACTGATTGATAGTCGAAAACAGTGTCGAAATCCCAGTGTTATGACAGCAATCCTGTCCAAAGGGCACCGGATTTTCTGCGCTTTTTTAAAGTATTAGGACCGCTGTAATGTCATTAGGTATGTGTCAGTGCAAAACTTGCGAATTGCAAACAAAAGATAGTATTATACCAATGACATCTGTGCTTCATAGTTTTTCTGCACACATTACTTTCGAGTTACTTAGGCGCGCCAAAGTGAGCCCGCTTATTGCATCCATTGCTGATATTTATGCTTATTAATCGGTCACACGTGATCCCAAATTCCCTTTTATTATGTGTGATTTAGAAGTTCTCACTTTCATCTGATTTGGCGACCGTCAACCTCCTGCGCATAAATAACAAGTCACCTGTTGAATTGGGACACCGTAATCCTCAATCTTTGACGTTATTTTGAAATTTAATGTTTTTAAAAAGTACAAAACAAAATTTGTGTTAGGACAGTGATGGATATCTGTTTGCCTAGACTCTGGCTATTATTTGGTTGCCAGTAGTTAAATAATATATGCACGCATAGGCGGCGTAAACAGTGTAAAGTACAGGTTTCAAAAGGTCAAGTTTTATTAACAGGCCATCTAAGGTCCTACCCAATTTAACGACACCTTTTTCAACCTCAACCAGGCAAGATATTAAGCCATTCTATCATCCAAATTAGGGTTGAGATAATCACACAGGCTTTTAAGGACATACAACGTTTGGTTCCGCTACGAGCTCGTCAACTGACGCAATTTGTTTGTAGAAAACCAGCAACGACGCAACAACAGCCAGGTTGACCGACGTAAGAGGCTTCACTGGGTCCGCCAAGGAACGGTTCGATCCCTCAACGGGCAAGGGAAAGGGCAAGGCAGGTCGCGAGGATCCTCTTCCAGCGTTCACCTCCTCTGGGATTTCAGCCCCTCGAAAATAAGCGTCCAGCATCACTCCGATCATTTTTCTTATTCACGACTATTTATTGTAATCTTCCCGGCTCCTCCAAACGTTTTGGCACTTCCTACGATTTACCATCTTGTTAAGTTTTTCCCGTCTTGTATCATTTCAATGACGTATGTGCTCTAAAAAGCGCTACAAGTAGTAAAAAATAGTCTTAATGATGATCATGGGTTACACATGAAACACCCGATTGCTTTATTTATAAGTCATAACTTCTACAAAATACGTATCAGCTAGAAGACCCTACACTGAAAGAGGTATTTAAACGCGGCCTTGATGTCGCTGTCAAGTCTTCTACATCGCGAACAATAAATCTTGTTTAAATGGTTTCAGTTTTACATCGGACCAGATTTGCCTTACTTAAAAATGTCAGCTTTGACTAAAGTATTTGATGTGATGAATCGCCTGTGCTAGCCCTTCCCACTTTGAAGTTGGGCGCGACTAGCGCATCATAAAATAACTTTACGCGCACTATGTGAAACTTCCAGGTCTGAGGTCTCTTATTTCTTAAAACTTGGCAGGCACTAATCAGGGCTCATTGGTTTGTCAGTACTGATGAAATTCGATCTAATGGAGACACTTGATGTTGTCCGACGGCAGTATTGTATACGGTCGCAACGGCTACAATTATCGGACTGTTTTGCACTCTCTTCCCATATGTCATGGTTGCCTTGACTTTTACCGATGACCATCGTAATTAGGAAACATCTTGTAAAGACCTTCCCACGAGAGACATTTCAATCCTATAATGGTAAACCATTGGGCTTTGTGTTTATATTAAGTGTTCTCCAAATTCGAACAAGTTCGGAATTTTGCCGGTTCCCTACTTAAGGCAGCTGGAAAAATTATCTTAGAATGAAACGTTAAGTTTATGCATGGCTATGAGTTATACTAGCAGCTCCACATATTGGCCCATGGTTATTCCGACTTGTAAATTAACACTTTAAAACGCAAATTATTTCAGTGTTTAAAATTGGGCGAATTATAGAGTGCAGAGCCAGCCACGAATAATGTAAGCTACATATAATGGTAACCCAACAGCCGGCATGGAGCAGTGATAAAATAAATCATTGCGTGGATTTCACAAATAAGTGCGCATTGAGGATCCGGCGAGGAGATATTTTTAACAAAATAATCCCATTAGGGTAATTTCCGAATTTTTTCCAACACCCTCAATTCCACGCTGGTATGAATCAGTTTCCTGCTGTATCCCTTTATTTATTTTCTGAAAAAAATCAGCAGACGCCACTACAGTTCACTAATGTTAAAAATTTCCTATCTGGTTGGTCGACCTAATTTTCAGTTACGATGTCAGCGACTAAATACGCTAGTTAGAACAGACGTGAGATTGAGCATGAACTTGTGGAAATCGCACAACAATCCCCTCATAAAATGAAAAAAACCAAAATCTATGATGCATTTCGCACGCATTTTCACCATTTCAAACTCACTGTCTCTAATTTTAAAATAGTTACGTAAGTTTGCATGCGTTGAAGGCAAGTGAAGAGAATCGACTTATTTGCATCACTGCACACATAGTATTGCCATTTTTATACGACAATACCTTTATCAATCAGACAAACATCCCACAGGAAGGTTTGGCACTGGTGCGTGTGTTCAACGGCAAGTCGCCCATGTGGCCAGCGCTGCACGGAAGTCGTAAACAATCCGTTTTGGGCGTGAATTAGATCGGACAGATAGCACGTACTATTGGAGGGACAAAAACGACAGTTAATAGGCACAATGCTTCCGTTGCAGGCAATCGCATGCCTAGTTTTTGGAAGCGTAGCAATATAAGTAGTTCAATTAAATCAACCTTACGGTTCATCGGGTCTTTTGCAAAATCCACATAGGGCACAACTGAAATTATCGACCACTGTTCGCCATAGTATATCTTATAACCTCGTGAAGCTGATTAAATTATAACTACGGATGATAGGCTGTATTGACCCCATCAAAGATGCAGATGAACTCTGAAATTTTTTTATTAGACTGACCTCTATTATTATGTAAAATTGTTTTTTCATAAAACATCTCTTGGTCTTATACCCACTAATAAGCTAGGTGCTCCTGTTTTTTTTAATTTTGAAGACATGTTACTTTTAAAATACGGACATGGATTTGCAAGGACACAAGTCATAGGTGCAGAATAACCCACTTTGGAGCCAAGCAAACCACGTTTACGCTGTTTTTTTCGGCAACATTTTCGTCAAGTGATGAATAATCGTTGCACTGGCGGCCAACGTGTGTCCTGGAGTTCTACGCGGGTACATTTTCGGAGGAATAATAAACAGTAGGAAACATTCAAATGCACCCAGATCTTCCCCTTGTTTACACACACTTTAGCCATGACCGATATACTACAACAATTTAAATTGTATTGAGTTGAAAATCAATTGCAGCGGTTCCCAAGCAGGACAATGCGTACTAATGCGTGTGATGGTGCAAAAAGGCTTTTAGAGTTGCCAAGGTGTTCCTTACTCCTTCTAAGAGGGATTGAGAAATGCCGAGACGAAAGCACACACTAAAATCAATCAGTGAATGTTTAATTAGTTCTATTAAAAAACTTCTGATTTTAAAATTTTCAAGTTATTTCAAAATAACTAATTTGGAAGTCACTAGTAAAAACGGCTGGTTCTGGTGGTGCTTTATCAGTGCTCTTAAATAACTTTATTTGATTTCCGAAAATTAGGTAGAGGAATTTTAATTTCGTTTTAACAAAATTGAAATCAATTGGCCTTATTGTTAACACCTGGTAGGCATACTAAATCAAAAGGCATATTTAGCTTGTTTGAAGTCGCATCAACCTACAGGGGACAAGGATTTTTGATCACAAACCTCTGCGAATATAAGCGAAGACTACCTGAACGTCAACAAGGTTTTCCCAGTACTAATCTGCCAGGTGATTTTTAGGCTGGCTAGAATCATGATTTCGTATGGATTTGGTTCCATTTTGTTGTGAACGGTAAAATTCCTCCACTTTTACTGAGCCTTTCCGCAAAACAGTTATAAAAACGTCGTACGTTATCAGTTTTGTCGCATCAAGTGAAACATAAAACGCTCGTTAAGTGTTCAAAATTTAAAAATATTATAAATATTATATTCTGCATAAGGTCGGCTGTAACTTGTCTGCACTGGTTTACATTTAACACCGATCTTACACTGATCGATTTGCCGCTAAGTTCATAATTCAGTTAGTATTTCAATCAAACTTTTAATGCTGCAACTGGTCGAAGTGCTCAAATCAAAAAGAAGGCCCTAGTTAGGTTCCTCTAATTTATCCCACCCGAAGGCATTTCACGAAGTCCTCATGGTAACTCGCGTTTGTTAGCGTGCAATTTTCTTGAATGCGTGGGCAGGTCATGTGACTGTCATGCAAAACAACGCGGCATCCACGTGATGAATGGATGAAGGCTGAACATCAATAAACTGCTTCAATCACCTTAGCGATCGTTTGCGGTTGCAGCATTGAGATACAACACCACGCAGAAAGCTACATGGATACGACTATTTTCAAACAACTCGTTGAGGCTATTCACAAACAACGGGTAGAAACCTGCTTCAGTCTTCTAAATCACCCACCTCTGCAGTTAGTGCAAGTTAACCCAGATAACAAAGAGTGGTACTTCGTGGTTCTTGAGAATAACCTTAGTGTTATATCCAAGCAAGTAACCACCTCTGCGGATCCTAATCAAACACTTCAACGGGCACTCCAGGTTACTGTGAAGCTCGCTAACACCTATGCTCGACGCGAGGCCCTCCTTGAAGAAACTCTTAAAGAAATCAACACAGTCGTTCAATTGGAAGACCCAATAGCCACGATAACAGCACTTGTTGAACAGAACGAGAGCCTAAATGGTATTCCCAAAAGATTGCTGAAGATTCAACTTGAAGATGAGGTGGAAGCTGCAATGAAACTGCATCCGTTGGCACTACTTATCCACGAAGAACTTCGTGATGCAACAAAAGAGAAGGGGAAATGTCTAAATTATGATGAGATGCTGGCATTTTTGCGAGCCTTAGAAAAAGTTATCCAGCTAAACGAAGCTCTAAGTGGGAAAAATGATAAGGAGGTTCTTAAAGCACTCTTATCGAAAGATTCTCTGTGGGAGAATGTTCTAGAATCAAAAGTAAATTTGTCTTCTTTATACTTCAGTAAACTCTTCAGTAAGAGGAACACAAAATTTTCAGCTAAAGGTAAGTAACATTAATGTGATTTAATTATAATGAAAGCGTTTCTTGAATCTCCGATACGATAATTTGGCACAACACAAAACTGTGTAGCATTAGGCACCTTAAGACCAGATTTGGAGGTCGGTTGCAGAGTGAGTAGTCACTGGTATCACGGCGAAATTTTAATAGCAACCGCATAGGATGTTACCGAAAAGATGTCTAGGGTTTCATTTAAAGAGCACTTTATATTTGGTCACCTGTTTCGCCGTCAATAAATTTTGTATGAGAGACAACGCACACGCTGTTGATTCATGCGTTGCCAAAAAGAATGAAACAGAAGTGCTGGATTTTGGCTGAGTGAAGAGAAACCAAGATTATTCCACAAATGAGCACAGCAGCATACATTTTGTAACATTGGCAGTTTGGAACTGAATGGATGACCTCGAGTTTAAAATGACCTCGGCAATCACATTTCATAGTTACCCTTCACTAATCGAGGCATTTTCCGTTGAATGCTCTGAATAAGGCGTCGAGGCCAGACTTCATTTCACTCGGCTGTTACCCAAATTTTCACACTCTCCCAAACTCAAGACATGGAATATGTTTTCCTGTCTTGATAAACAAATGAGATCCCATCAATTCAGGCTTTTTTCCTCTTTCCCGATCACCTCAAGTTCCCTGTCAATCTGCACATCAAAGTGATTGGGAAAACACCATTATGAAAACCGTTAGCTTGCTAAATGAAACTTCATAACCAATAGTCGATGTTCTTCTCGCTTGATTTGCATTCCTTCTTGCGTCGTGTGCTTGAGCACAGCACAGGCGAAGCATGTGGTTTCATGATTAGTGACCTGGAATGGGTGTTGATCTGGAACTGGCATGCATGGGGGTGTGTGTATGTATAAGTAAACCATGTCAGCGCCATACTCGAGTAACAATTTGCTCAATGACTCTTGAGTTGAGGATGAACGACAGTGGAACATGATTGCCCATATCTACTAAAGCGTCACTTGTTTTCGTTGCTCGACACTAAGTCCATGTACCTCCATAAATACGATTGCATGATCCTATTTACGTACACGATTACGTAAGTCTGTTTTCCATTTGAGCAACTTTGCTAAATCAGCTGTTAGTTGCCAGTCAGTAGAGACTTCTTCAGAAATGTCGAATGCTATTTAGCTACCACTTACTTCACAGCTCATTCATAAAAGAATTTCTGGAGTGATGTGAATGTTGCTCCTACTAGTCAAGAGATTAATCCATGTTCTATATTTAGTAAAATGCACTAATTTATCTTACTGGTGCTGCCACATACTCGGTGTTTAGGTGTGCAGTTATCACTCAAAGCAGACACATTAAAGCCAGAAAATCGTACTTGCAGCACTTTTCCGTTTTTTGCGGTAGGTTGCTAAAAATACAAGCCCGAGTGTCCTAGCGACAAGGCTTTACTTCCCACAGGTGAGTCAACCCTCCTGACCCACGCTGAAATCCAGCAGGTTGTCGATGAGGTTGCTAAAACCAATCGTAAAGAATATAAGGATTTGGCGATCTCAGCTACAGAAAACTTTGGCAATGAGGAGAAATGCTTGACAAAACATGCGAACTTAGAGGAACCAAAGCCCAATAGAAGAACAGGGAAAAGTAAATCACCCGTTTACCCTAAAACAAACTTAACCCCCTCCTCCGTGGACACCTCCGATCATTATCTCGCTCTTTTGCGTCAGAACCTTGAACCGGGAAACGAGTTCAGGCTCTGGGGGTGGCTTCAAGCCTTAAAAGCCACTGGTTCCCTCACAGGCCTAAAGGGTGACCTTTCAGCAGAAAATGTCGACCTCTATCGACGTGCATTGAGAAAGCTCCCTGTTTTGACAACGTCTGGCGTTGCAATGGCAGTAGAAAAGGCCCATGAGATATATTCCAGAGCCCAGTTGCTAGGACTGGTATTGGCGGAAATTAACCAAGCCTTGGAAGAGGGTGAAAGAAGTGTTCTAGACAAGCAGTTCATGGAGTTTATTAACAGGGAGAAAGCGGCTCATTTAAAACTACGTTCCGCTGTTATATCATTGGATTTAAACCAAGAAAATATTAACGCCTATGTAGAAAGTTTAATTAAGGTAAATCTGTCAGTCTCGGTTATCACAATTTTGCCAAATTTTGTATGGTAATTTAACATAACTCAATTTCATTGTAAGACATGTATAGGTATACCAGTTTTTAATATGAGTATTTTCTCCCTGTCTACAATGCCCCAACAAATACAGGCGTAAAACAACCTTACTAAGAGCCAGATTGGAAAGTATAATAATGTGGGCAGTACTTGAGATAATTTGAAATTGAAAATAGCTTCCAGATCATGCTCTAATGGTGGTGGTGGCGAACAAATCGCTGCTACTATTGCTGGCAAAAAGAAAGTTTATCTTGTCGGCAATTTCTATTGGGCGTTTTATGCATTTAGTTAAGGAATGCAAAGTTACAGTCAAATTGTAAAGGGACAGCTGTCGATTCCACTTGCAGTGGTGACAGTCGCCTTGTGTCGAAGTGCGGCTGGCTCCGCACGAGTCTTCCACACAGGAATGGTGAAAATGACCACTTCTACTACAACATCAAGTCCGGTGAATTAATATGGCGGCCCTCCTACACAACTCCTGAGCCCAGCTGCACCGACCCCTTTTTACTGAATCGTGAGGAAATTGCCGAATGCGTAAATCAGGTGAATAAATCAAGCAAAGCACTGGGAGACGGGTTGCAGAACGTAACCAGACCGTTCCCTCAGTCTGCATTCAACATTCTTGAATGTCTGATCCGAGCTTTCCTTGTGAAACGACATCACCTGGAATGGGCCTATACGCTCAATGAAGGCATGGAAAAAATTTGCAAGAGTAGGGAACTTCTTGTGGGAATCAAAGGCTTCCAAGCCCTTTGGAGGGGGTATTTTACTCGCCAAAAGTATGCAGCCTATATTGCCACGTTAAATTCACCCAAATTAAAGTTTGCAGCGGCGCGAATCGTCACTTATATCAGGCACCACAGGCGACGTCGAATGATTGAACGCACATTGGAAGGAGTCTGGCGAATCCTTAGAGGAGTAAGAAAAGCTCAGGCAATGTGGCGAGGCCATGTTCTTCGTAGAGCCCTCGCCTCCTCACTGTCACTAGCACTCAGTCCCAATTATCTGTCAACTTCTCGCCGGCCACTGTACTGGCTCGGAAGGCTGTTCAAATGCGCTCTGGTGCCCAAGGCAGCAGACAACATATATGATACCCAGTTGGGGTGCTTCCATGCTGCACAGAAAATTGAGGACCAGGCGTGCCTCCTAGTCAGGCTTGATAATGAAATCGGGCGTCTGCAAATGATCATCTCTTTAATAGATCGAGTTCACCACGACGCGTGTGCTTCCACCTTGAAACACAAACGCAGTAGTTCTGCAAATTGTGTATCCACGGCTACTAAATGCGCTGCTGAATCTCTGGTTATGATCGGAGAAAATGTAGTCAAGCAAACGCCAGAGGAGCAAGTCGGCAGGAGGTATGAGGGCCTTCTATTCCTTCTTTACACACAACCAGATTATTTAGCAAGACTCTTTGCTGAGTTGCCGTCACACCTGCTGTGGCAAGAGAAGCCAGTGGCCAATCCAGAGGCATACAAAGCGAGCGAGTTTGGGCTCATGCTTGAACGAATTATTCTTAGCCTGTATAATTATGGAATGAGCTTAGGTGACGAAACAAGTCTTCTCTTTTTGGTTATACGAATACTCCATTTGCAAGTAGCCACCAGCTCCTGGTGTGCAATTATGGAGGAGAGGAGTCATTTCGCTCTGCGACTTGTAGTATCGATGACGCATGTGAGCCATTCATTAGACGGTAAGCATGCGAAAACGGGGATTTCGCGGCTATTGCCACTTTTGCAAGAAATCCTCTCAGGCGACCGGGAGGGATGCAAGGCAAAGGAGGGTGCTGGGGTCCCAATGCCTGGAGGCGACGCGCACTCCTCTTGGACAACAGTGAAGTGGCACCCCACACCCCCAGAAGTCGGCCATGGGAGTGCTTTGAAAGAAACTCGGACCACGGCAAGTGCCTTCTTTCACAAAGTAATAAATTCCCAAAGCGCTCACTGTAATCTTTTGCTCGGATATTGAGGTAGCTCATGCACCACATGCAACGCAATTTTCTATGCATCTCTGGAATACAGAGCTTGTTTACGCCATGCCTGGGTCAGCAGTGCTCTTAAAAAAGTGGACGAAATGGGCAAAACACTCCAATAGCCTTTGAGTTTTAAAGGAAACAGCCACTATTTGTGTGAAAAATGACAGACTAAGGCGTAATGCAGCATGCGCCCTACCCAGATTAACCTGGGATATGTTGGCGATCTGAAAAACACAGGTGATAGATTCAGTTCCTCTTGACGATTGGTCAAAATGGCTTTTAATACCACCTTTAAAAGTGGTTAATCCAGGCAAAAAAGACTGTTTTCAAGGTGAGCGTCGTATAGTTTCGTCAAATGTACATGTCACATTGAAATTTCATGCATTTAATCACTTCAGATGCCACAGTATTCAAAAAACAATTATTGAAAAAATTTAGGCAGCAAACTTCATTCCTTACAGAAGCAAGAGCAAGAAATACGCGCAACATTTGGCCTTCACTTAGGTCGTGGGAAAGCACAGACCCCAACTTTAATCTTGTTTAATTCATAACACGTAATTTCCCTTTTTTAAAAATCTAATGGACGACACAATTTCTATTGGCAGAATTCCCCCAGGCTGCAGCCAATGAAAAGCGATTCCAACTTGTGTAGAAGTAGATTGTCTAATGTAAAATCTGAAGGTGAAAAAAAATTCCCAAATCAGAACAAAATCCGTTTGTTTTATGAAAATCTGCCATCGACATTGCCGCCGCCCCAAGCCATGTTGAAGGTGTTTGACTTATCATGGCTTGCCCACGCTGCTGAACGGTTTTTCTACATTCTTTTCGAAGAATCGGGGGGTGTCATCTTACCACCCTGTCTTCAACATGTTATGCAAGAGTTCTTTGTCCTTCTTCGTCAGAAGTATCCCAGCCAACCTGTTAAGGAACATGTCAAGGTAAAATGAAAATTTACAACTACTGATACAATAAACATAGCGGTCAAATTTTGTCTCAATTCTCATCTTCTTTTTCGAGCCACGCCTTATTTTAGTTTTTAGGTTTGCATGTATTTTACCGTTACATACACTCCATCATAATTGCTCCTGATGCATTTGCCCAAACACACTGTGAGCCTGCGGAAAGAGCCCCCCTACCAACCACTGGACCGGGATTTGGCGGACGAAGGTGTCTCGCTGCCCTCTCTCGGCTGCTTTGCTTTGTGGTGGAGAACAAGGGATTTGTTGGCAAGGGAACGTCAGGGCAACAGGCGATGGTGTTTAACCCCCTCATCAAGGCCTGGCATGCCAAATTCAAGCAGTACCTGCTGAACACTCTGAACGAAAAGAAACCACGAAGGACGCCAGCTGGCATTATGAAACGCCAAGTCGATGGGTGGATAAGGCGACTGCCTTACGCTGGCCCAAAGCACGAATGGCTAGAACTGCAGCCCTGGAGAATGGAGGAGGCAGAAGACAAAAAGAAAACCATCACTCTCGCTGTGGACGTGAGCTTGAATTTAAATTGCTAATGATATTAATGCGTCAATAGACAGGGTGTTAGGTTGAGCTACAAAGCTAGGTCGTATCTTTTCATCTTTTGCAAAATTACAGGAAAGTATTTCCCGTGAAGTCGTTTGAAATAAAAGTCACTTGTGCAGAACCGAGACTTTGGTTATGCAACTTCACTTTGTCTGCCGCCTTTTGCCTTTTTTCTGCCAGCTTTACGGCCAAAGACAGCACTCTCGCAAGTCCATCGAATTGACAGCCTGATCTGGTGTGCTGATGGTTAGATTTCGATGTAGTTGGAGCCCCCTCATCGCTGCTGGATCATGATAGACTTCGATTGGATTAATTTTTCATTACCAGTGATGATTTGTAACAAAAAATTAGCAAGTCCATATTGCTGGAGGTGCGTGTCACTGAAAGTAAATATTGGGTAATAGCTTAGACAGCACGAAATGCCCAGAGAAGAATGTTAGAAGCAAAGGCACCGCTCAATCTAACAGCGTCTTCGGCTGTGGCTATTCACGCATATTTATGGGGTTTTTGAGTTCGAGAAAAAAAGGTCTGTGTCACGAATTTGTTTGCATCAATCGTCGTTGGAACTCCATGAGGGAAAGCAACATCGGTGCATGGGGAGGTGGTTTAGAGCGGTGAATCAAGGGTTGGAAATCAGCAACGGGTTTAGGTGTCTCATGTCTCTCGGAGAAATGAAAAAACACAGTGACCAGTCATTAGAGAACTGGGGTGACAGTAGAGAATTCTCTAGATTCATCACAATGTGAGCATCTCTAAATTCTTTCCTCTAAAATGAAGCGTCCTAAATTGGGTTCATTCCGTTAAGTAATCATCTCTATAACTTTCACAAATTCCTTCGTGAGCTTTATCAACTTTCGCGCTTACCAACTCAGTGACCTTGGTAATCCGCCTCTCACTGTCCCCAAGCCCGTCCCAGCATGCACCCTGGGATCACTTATCCCCGTGCCCGTTTGCAACCAATGGACTAACTTGCATTCACACCCCCACCTAAGTTGAGCCGTCGTCGCTGGTACGCTCATCCTTTCCGGGTGTCCGCTTGGCCCAACCAAGTCTACGCACACTGTGGTGGCCAAAGTGCGATTCAAGGTGTTTGTCGAGGGTTCTACTGTGGGAGACCAGACGTGACCACTTGGGTATCTCGGTCTCCCAATTAACTGCTGCCAACCAAATTAAGCTAGAATAGGCTAAAAGTTCCATTGTAGCATTTTAAAAGTCTTTCATAACAAACGAAACTCTATAAAGCTATTGAGATGGTCAGTAACCTCATCTCAGTCCTACATAACCGTGGTTTTACTACCTCATCGGCCTAGATCGAGCCAGAGCATGAACCAATTACTCGTCACGATCTACCACAAAGTACACACATTTGAATACAGCATTCCTTCACCCATTCAGGTTAGGCATCATGTCTCCTCAGTAACTTCGAAAAACAGACCTGTAAATTTCCTTTTACGAAGTGTTCATTTTGTGGAATCAGTCTTTAATGACACCAAGAATATCAGCGACAAAGTGATTGAACACCTATGGACAGAGCTCGCTAAATATACACCGGTAAAACGGGATAAAATGTAGAGTTTTCTTTGCCTCCTTTTAGACACGGTTTTACTATCATAGAAATCAATTTATTAAGCGAGTAATTATTAATAAAATTATCTAGCTTGTATAAGCAGTTTTGACGATTTTGAACGTAACAATAGCACACCTGTTTCAGGAACTAGCTGAGCTCCATCGACTAATTAACGCATACAAGGAGAAGATAGCACCAAACGCCCATGATCCACTTCACATTGAGCTAGAAAAAATCGATCGTCTCCCGCAGGTTCTGTTCCGTCACCCCAAGGTTAACGAAGACGAAGAAAATCCTGATATTGTGGAGGATGAAACAAGGCCCACCAGCAACAACAAGGTCACAAATCACAAAGCCAAAAGGAAGAAACCTCGGCGTAAACTCTTTGGCAGTAAACTGCGTTCCGGTTCAACCTCTAGACTAGAAACATTTTCCCTTCATGACTACATGTCCTTGAATAAGCTTTCTACACCGTCATTCCGCTGTGCAAATACTGAACGAACGATAAACACGAGAGCCAGTTCCCTTGGACAAAACAGCAGCAATAGCCACGGCCCAAATTTGATTCCATCAGAAAATACTGTGAGTGCAAATTTTTACGTTTCTGTAAGTTAGTAACCATCGTGGAATTAGCAAAAAAACTCTTTGTCTAAGCAATTTTTGTCAAATATCCTGGGTCTTATTTATTTTGCATAAGACAAAAATAACTGTACCATTTTCAAAAGAAGGTTCACATGAAACGAAGAAGTGGATTTTTAAATACTATCCCTCCAGCGTTATAGCTTTGCTAGGCCTATGCTAATTTAAAAGTTGTGTAGAAATAGCAGTACGCAGCGATTGTGAGACGCCTTTATGCTTTGTGCCCAGGACACGTTTGCTCACAAACCCTTACTGCGCTACTACCGACTTTCGTCTGGGGATTCCACTGACGTTATACTCGCTTCCGGGCACCAAATTCCAATAGCAATCCAGGCGATCTCTCCGATGCAGTTTGCAAACGCTTGCCTCTACGCAGTAAAGGCGGTGGGGACCCGCAGTACCGAATGCTTCACCTTCGGTCCTCGTACGTGCTGCTTAACTCAAGAACAGCCCTGCTCGGTTTCCAATGCCTCCCAAAATTCATCCCTTCTTTCAAGCCACCGATTTTCACAAGATGGAAAATCTTGCTTGTTTTGCTCAGCTGACGGTCGCAATCAGCTATCGGTAAAACCACTTTTTGGCTGGGCTGAACCGCTTCCATTCTGTAAAGCATCAAAGGCACCTTTTAGGCGGAAGCCCTCTATGCTAGACGGGGGCGACGTGCGGAACAGGCCGTTAGCTTCTAACGGTGCAGATGGTGTGGCAATTTCTGAGGCTTCAGTGGACTGTAAAAGTGCACCTGCAACGGCAAAAGTGAGGGAGCTCGGTGTTGATTGGATAAATGCAAAGCGAGAAATGATCCATATTTTTTCTTGGATAGAAATACACAGTAAGTTATGGAACTGACCGAGTACAGCTACTGATTTTTCTGCAAGATTTTTTTAATTAAATTTAAAACATTTAGTCTTTTCGTTGTGTTTGATGCATAATTCTACTCTCACAAGAACTCGCTGAATTTATCAAGACTTCCTGTCGGAATATTCATGCTTTATGTATTTTGCATCAGTATAGGAAAAGAAAATCAACCTCAAATTTATGATTAACTGACAAGGGTTGTGTCTGTGTTTTGTAATTAGAGAAATGTGTGCACAGGGACGCAGCTCCCGAACCACGGGACGGCCCGGCGGGCGTGCCAGGCTGGCTCTGTCTGTTTCTGGCGTGGTTGGCTCGTGTCGAGGTCACTTCAGAAACTTATTTCCCAAAACGCACCCATTCTGCACTCTGCGGTGACGACTTCGCATCGATTAGACATCTTCAGCAAAGTATACATATTTTGCAGGCCGCAGTCACACACATTCAGGCCTTCTTTGGTTTAAACCATGCCACAATTTGGCATGTGAGTTCGTTGAAAATTTGGATTTACTCATGCCTATATAGTAGTGAGTCAAGATTTACTTAACAGGAACTTCTGGCTGCGATTATCCGAGACATATTCCACTTTGATGCGATTTGCATTCGCTCAGTGTGGCAGTCACTTGGGGATCGCCTATCAATTGTGAATAATAATCTAGAGGACCGAATTCACCGACGGCGAAAGGCGATAGCTGCCTTGAATGACTTCATTTCAACTTGTTTGCAACCTCGGCCGGTATGGAGTAGCAAATTCTCCATAAGGTAGGTTTCTGTGAGAGCCTGCTTAGCTGAAGTATCAGTTTATCCGGTAGGAATAATAACACTGATGTCCATTCCATTGAAACCTGCTTAGATTTTAGTGATGCTGTAGTGTCTAAGGAAATCAGCACTACCTTACAACCCTCTAATTAAAAGCCCGTTACAACCCGAAGATAAGGGAAAAGGAGGCGACAGAGAACACGACCGTTTATTAGTATCACACCAGCCAGGTGGCCTTGTGTGTGTATGAGTACGCATGCATAACAGGCGAATACTGACTACGGCCGATAACAAAAGGGGTGAATCATTGGTCCACTCGGGCCCTCACGCACGCATCACTCACGCGAGGTGGCAGTCAGTCCACTACAATGCGCTCTCAAGCACGCGCTTTTGTATCTTAGACCCGACAGAAGTTAGCCAGGCAATGATATGTTCGAATGAGCTGGCATCGGGGCACAATTAAAATATTACTAGAATGTCATTCAATATCAAATTCATCCTTATTATCATTAGTGTTTACGCCAAGTCACGAAACTTTAATGCAGGTTTTTCAGTAATTGTGAAAGCTACGACGGCTGGAATCATATTTGTACGCCATTTCACATTATTTTTCTAGGACCCCCAACGTTGTTGGTGTGAGCCTACCATTCTCCTATCTGGTGAGCCATGGGATAGTGGCCGGCGGTAAGTGCACCCTCTCGGACAAACAAATGAGGAATATGCGTCTTGAGATAGTCGCCCACCTGTCCGTGCCAGGCCGCTTCTGCCTAACCGTGTACCTCCTGAGTGTGCAGTGGGAAGAACCCCAGGAATTGTACATCCCCGACCTCCTGCTTCAGATGCACGCAGACAACACCACTCTACCCTTCTTCTCGGAACAGCTTTGGCTTAACTTGATGCCGCTGGTGAAAATGATGTTTAAAAAGTTTTACCACGATTCACTGCCCTCCCTGAGCAGTATTAGCGAGTCAAACGGCTAGGGAGGAAATAAAAATTCAGTTTTGCTGCTTTGCAACTGAATTAATCAGCTGTTGCTTGATTAATTTTGCAACCACGTTTAATCCGCAGCTGTGCTTCTTGTCGTTGGACAATCAAAAAGGTACTGTAACTAAAATGACTTAATTTGTAAATGTAGAGATGGTGGCTGTGGTAGCTGTTGTTAGTCAAAGTGGGACTTACAACAGCCAACTCATGTACTCTACAACTGTGCATTCAAAGATACGGAAAGAATGCTTCCAGAAATGACAACTTTTTTGATTTGCATTTAACGACAACTATCGAAGGGAAACAATAAGTTTCCGCATAGAATTGTCCACTAAAACTGACTTTTATCTTTAAACAGGGTTAGACGCGTTAGTGCAATCATGAGTGGCCAAACTGAAAGCAAATCGAGTGAGTAGGATGATTTTACTTCACAAATTGTACCGTCTTTATCAAAATACTGAGCCCGGAAAGCCCTCATATAGTCTGGGAAGAGGCTTCGATGCCTCAAAAATGAACGGAATTAGTAAAGCCAAAATCCACATTGTTTAATCTTAAGGTTTCCAAATGTATATTTACAATTGCAACTCTGCATCACAAAAAAAATATAAAATAATTGCTACGATGTGAATCCCTAAGTTCTAGTCATTCGTTTTAGGTCGCCAGAAAATATAAAATAAGACATTTTAAAGGGGTTCATATCATTGTATTAATAAGTGTATTGGCCTTACTTTACGTCAAATTAAATCAAAATCAGACTTGAAGGATCTGCTTGATTTCAAATACACGGACGAGTTCTCAGCCGTCTTAAGACTTGAATCTGTAAAACAAGAATTTTTTGATGTCTCAAATACCTCGCAAAGTAATGTTTTATCGCAGAGGCAAAACTCTTATGACATCAACTTAACACCACTTTGCTCTTAAAAAGGTGGAAATGCATTTCTTTATGAATATTTGTAGCCATTATCAACTTGAATTAATAGTATGCTATCGTTGGGTAGCACGATAAGTTGGAAGTAATTACAACGCAGTGAGTGCATAATTTAGAACTATTACACATCTTCACAAGCTTTGCCGGCACGTGAAAATCAATAAACATGAAACGCCCTCGATGAGATAATGTATCATTTTAGACAAATTTAATTATTTGTGAATTCACATAATCTTCTGAAAATGCACCTGTGACATGATATGCACATATGTTCATCGACCTATGAAGGTGTATGATTATGTGGTCTTCAACATTAAGAAGATCAATATTTAAAAAAATTTTACATTGTCTTTGCCATTCTTGTTTCGACCCTATGTATCGAAATCTCTATCTATCAAATAATTCTCATGGGAATTCCCAACAAATGTTATCATTTTTGTTTTTTTTTATTTTAACAATCCGTCTGGATTTTTGTATATGCACACCTACATTGACAGAAACTATTCCTTAACAAGGGTAAGGCCTGATCACTCTCGTATATACTTGACACTCCAATCACCCAAGTAAATAAAGTTGCCTAATATTCCTTTTTTAAGTAACATAAGTGTTTACAATTCCGAGAAAGACTTACTGACAGTCAAAACCAACGTTTTCAGCCGAAATAAGCGAAAAAATTGTGGTCTCCGTGACAACATTACTTCACCTTAACCTATAATCGACCCGATAAGGCTTTTAAAATGTAGCATTATTAGTTTCAGAAAAAAAAAATAAAAAAAGCAATGAGATTTTGCTGCAGAAAGTTCGTGTTTTAAATTGCTGGGAATGAGGTTAAAGCAAGTCAGCTGCACTTCCCGAATTCATGACCTGAGGAAGGGGTAGCTTTTGTACCATTTTTAAGGTGGCAGGTAGTTTTATATTTACCAACTCTGAAGCGAAAACAGGTTTTCTAGGCATTTTAGTGAGCAGAACAAACAAAACTTATTGCCTGGCATTACTTCGACTCCCCTGCGTGAGCAAATGATAAATAACCCTAGCATTCAGTAGAAAAGAACGTATCTTTATTCGGACATTTTTAAAGGCTACTGTGTTAATGGCGGAGCATAATTCGCTGTTAGTCTTTCTGGTGGCAGGGCATCACTTGTAGAATCGGCTATGCACTTCCACATAATATGATTTCTTACTTTGAAAAAATACCTGATGTGTCCTTTTTAAGGCGTATTGTTGCGACCGACAGCCTGTTTCCAAAAACATGGATAGGAAGCTCAGCTTACAGCATTTGAGACTGCCTTATATTTAAAAAAATGTGATAGGAAACGCAGGCCATTTAATAAGTATTCTATTTGCAAATGTACAAAATATAATGAAATCATTTATATTTTCAGTTTTAAAAGAAAATAATGCTTACTTTTTCTCCTTAAAAGTGGAATATGTGAGGCAATACGAATTTGGAGAGATATTAGCCACCAATTAAAATGCAAGGTACTGATAATTACCCTACAACCAGTTTGGTGTTTGTTTGCCTCGGTTAAATGACGCATTTTGCAGCCTGTTTAAGCAATTAAACAATTGTTTTAATTTATTTACGTACAGATCCCAAAGATTAAAAACATGGGGTAACCTGACAAGAAGAGAGCAGTTTTACGCGAGTTAAGTGTTATCGTCCGCCCTCATGACGCTAGGTTTCGAATCCATTTTGACGCTAAAACTACTTTTTTCTTAACTGATTTATCTACAAAATACTCCGCTCTAACTGCTTATTATTTCATATTAGCATCCTCCCCTCTTTATTTATGTAAATCAAAGTAGAAAAAGGTCCACTTACATTAAAATTTACAAAGCCTGTCTAGATGGAGATTGGACGGTCATTTTCAAACTCTTCTTGGTGTTTTTTTTTCTAACTTACCAATATAAATTGTTGTTACAAAACTGTGAAGTGGATGTGCACCAGCCAAATACACTATGGACAGGCAACATTTCTGATTCTGAGGAGGGTTTGGTAGATCCACCGAGTAGTCTGGACTATGCATCGTCAGATTTGTAACATACTGCGCCGACTTATTGTTTTGCAAGGGCGTTCATTGAATCCTTATGGGATAAAAAGTGCACAAATCAAATATTCTAAATCATTAAATTAAAAACCACTTTTTTAAAAAAAGAATAACAAGAAAACCAGGAATCACAGGTGCAACTCCCTCTATAATGACAAATTTCTAATAAAAGTTCTGTAATCTCTCAATGTTCTAATTAAAGTAGGCGAGGCGTAGTAAAACAGCCAAAACTCCTAACTGTTAAAAAACACCAACGGGAGATTTTCAGTGATTTACTTAATGGCCCAGTAATCACTTATTAATTTTTCAAATGATGTCCCGGGACAAAATTATTTATTTGCTGTTTGTTTCCATGGCAATGGACAGTGATGCATGTTTAACATTTTCGTTTTTGATTAGGTGCTCTAATTGGCTAAAATACTAAATTAGCCAGTTATGCTGTGTAGCCAAAATGTTGAATTCAACTAATAGTAGTTTTGGTGTAAGAAGAAACATCAGTTATTGCTTTAAACAAGCCGTGAAATGCGTGTTCACCTCCGTATTGTCTCAATTAATGCATAGTTTAACATCGGGGATATATTGGTCTTGTAAAAATGCCAGCCTCACAAAAATCTTGCAAAACTTGTCATATTTGCTTCGATGAGGATGACAAAACTCGCATTGAAGTAAAGAAATAACAGCAAACCTCATGTAAAGTGGCGGCCTTCCGAAGTTGCTGACTAGAATTGGCTCACAAAATATGGCCTGAAAGTCAGGTTAATAGGTTTAAAAGTATGTTTATAAGGAGCACTCGCTATAACGTTTAGGCATTTGGGTGGTGTAAATGCTGCTGAAAGTCTCCTCATTGCTTGTGAGTTTGATGGGGCTTTGTTACATTGCATAGCCATCAGCAAGTATGAACCTTTCAAAACCTACGGCATAAATTTTAAATCAAATTTTTGATAAGATTGAAAGCTCTGATTAAAGTTTTTGGTCCAAAAGAATACCCAGAAAGGGTAAACCCAAGATTATGAAAACTAGTAGAGTCATAGCAATGGTCAAGGTTGAAATAAAAATGAACCTGTAAGTCATACTAACTTCTCTTTTTATCAAAGCATACAGTAAAATTTTGAGTCCTCCGTGGCTGGAAAACTAGTGTTCAGAATTCGAATTAATATTGTTTCTATTCGCACCGAGTCCAATAATGCCCTCATGTTTCAACCTTCAGAAATTTAATAACTTGTAAACCTGGGTCTATGTGTTCCAAACACAAGCCGCTTTACACATAAGAATTGTTAAATTTCCGAATGCTGGTAATATCAAACATGGCGATGTGCTTATCCAGTTTAACACCAACTGACCTAAATGTTTGAGTTAGAAGTGGACATTTTTTGTTTCCGCTATACAATTAAGATCGCCTTTTCCGCATTTAAAACTTGTTGTTGAATGGGCGTCTTTGAACTGCGCAGTTTCTTCTCCGTTTGTTCAGCTTTCGAGCTTTATCGTTCGTAAAAACATTTACGCGCGAACCTTGTAATTAATGCCGAAAATAAGATTTACTAATTAAAAAATGAAGTTGTATGTTAACCATCATAAACAGGCACGGCAGGTTTCAATTACTTGTTTTATACATTTTAATTCCAAAACGTGTATTTAACGGAACCAGTTTTAACAAAGAATATTAAAATAAAATACAATCCTGCATAAATACGGTTCTTAAGTCGAAGACACTATGCACCAGACAGTACCTGATTTTGTCTCATCTATCGCAAATTTACACCTTGGCAGACCAACTCACCCGATTTTTTTAAACCTGCTTAAATATTGCATAGAAGTAGACACGGTGACAAATGTGAAAGACTTGCTTGACGAATTTTCACGCTTATAAATTAGCCAATTTTAAGTAAATTTGCCAGAATTGAGGACTGAGCTACTGCTTGAAATATTTTTTTCCTTTTACCAAAAAATACTGCCGTTTTTTCACCAGTGACACGAGAAATAGATATGCTTGAGGGCACTCAGTGTTGAATGAACTCGGATG